AACCCAAGGATAATCAAAATCTTTGACTATATTATATCTTAACCACTTAATAAGTCCAAATGCAGACTGGTTAAAGATAAGATAAGTGAACCTAATTAAGGAATTCAAACGCGTGTGAAAATCCCTGAAATAAAGAACATTTAGGCTGTGTATAAGGAAACATTACCCACCCAGTGAAGCTCATACACACATTATCAATGTGCTGCTAAAATGAATAATAGCCTGCACTGCATTAAAGCTGAGCTCAGCTTTACTGGCAGAATCCCCTGTCGAACAGTATAATCAATAGCATTCAACATCAGGGATTGCTGCACAAATAAATTAATGACAGAAAAATTGTTTAATTTGAAAGACAGTCCCAGTCCTCACCACAGGATGATGGATTACCCACCCTGTCAAACACTGAAATATTGCTTCCATTGTTTTGCTTTGCAATACAATCTTTCCAGACAGTATAGATTTCATCCAGGAAGCTGATTATTAATGATACATGAAAAACACTCTGCTTCACTATTAGACAGGATCATGCCCTCAATTAAATCAGAACATTCCTACGTCTCAAATTATTTTGGGAAAAGTAGGATGCCCCTCTCAAAGTAAGGTATCTCCTTCTGCTGGATATCTTGACCTATTTAGGCGTGAAGAGTGGAGAGAGAACACAAATATGTGCACCAAACTTTAGGGCAAAGAGGCAGATGTCTGTATTTTGCTTTTAGAGACTTCAAACAAGGATGTAGATATTTTTGGTTTCATCAAACCTTTCAAAACTGTCCATTCAGGGGTTTTTTTACCATTTAAACAGAGCTACAGAGCAACAAGTTATTTTATGCACCACTTTGTCCTTTACATTAAAAGGCTGGTCTCCCCATACATTTTTAATGAATGACTTGACATAAGATGCAACTTGCAACAAGGGATTATTATTAAGATTTCATGAAGTATCTATAATGTTGAAGCGGGTAGTGATAGATGTTAAATAATAAATAGTTTATCTCTCTTACACAGGAAAAACCTAATGGATATAGAAATTGAATTGTAGCGTACATAGATTAAACATGAACAAAGGGCTTTTCTGCATTGGTGTGTTTGGATAGATGGTCAACACTGATAGTAATTTCTCTCAGGATGGCATCGTCCCATCTTTTACAAGTGCTACAATATCCAGATGAATGTGAAATTAAGAACACAAAGGTGTATTTTTAGAAATCCTCATCAATGCAGAGGACGCATATTGAGTTTATGTGTGTGTGCAGACTGTTTCCTCAGCAGCAGGGTCAGTCAACAGCTCCAGAGGAAGGAGCTCCGACACAGATTCTCAGCGCTGAACCTCTGCAGAGGGAAAACTTCTCTTCCTTCCTCTGTCTCTTACTTCCCCCTCTTCTGTACCCTTTTTGCTCTGCCTCTATGGCTCACATCCTCTCCTCTCAATCTTTCCACCCGGCAACCTTTATTATTTTATCTTCCTTAGATCACTCTAGTCCTCCATTATCTGTGCCTCTTTTTTTCGCTCTACTTGTCTTTGGCACTGACCTCACTACAGCATTGCAGTATAAGGAAAGATTCATCAACACACTTCCTTTCTTTCTTTATACCTGCAAGGTGTATAACTCAAACCCTGGGGCTTCATCCTCTCATGGTAGAACACATCTTTTTTTTACAAGACACACAGACACACACACCTGTGGTCTGCAAAACATCTGAGCACCACATGTGAGAGAAAAAAAAGTAGTATGTCATTTTTAATATACCGTAAATATACATTTTATTGCCCTTAAGTAGACGTATGCATCACAGAGTGGTGTTTAAATGTGACAGATTGTTATATACAGTATTTAGGGCAGGCAGGGAAGTTAAAATGAAAATGTACGTAATTTTATCTAAAGAAAATAAACGTGACAGCTCACATGGGAAAACCGACTGTCTATCTGGTCTGGCCTAGCAAATACACATACATGGGATGGCCCTCGATGCAAGACAAATACACTCCACAGTCAATTGTTTACAGTGTTGTGTGGACAAATTTCTGTTTTTGGCAGATCTGCAAAGTATACAAGCAGTTGTCTGTCCCGCTGAATTAAACATGTCTTATTTGCATAGGAATATATAATATCAAGGTGTTTAAATGTTGGTTTGATAAGCAAGAATAATAATAGGGATGAAAGAAATGTAAATTAAAAACTAATGTACCATTTTTTATTGTAGAAACAAGAGGTGGCTGTTTGTAAGCAATTTTATAGTAAAGTGCTACGCCAGACATAAGAAAAAATCTCTGTCTGACGGTTTGATTTTAGTTGCAAGCCTGTTGACATTCTTACACATTACAGAATATATACAGTATATATTTATATATATATTAATACATATATGTGTGTTAATTAATTATGTGTACAACATTTTGGGACATCTGCAAACATTATCAAGGCTGCTGGTGTTATATATTACACAAATACACCAGTGTATCATCAGCATATTAATGTAAACTTTCAAAATTTCCTTTGGTGACAAAAATCATGTATGTAGAAGTCTATAGAAAGTATGGCAATTTGTAGCTGCTGTGTAGCAATATGTTTCCCTGAATGTCATTCAACACACAGTCTCTGCAAAGAAATATTTGAAGAAAAATTTGCAAGCCCAAAAACCTTTTTACAGTTACATTTTTATAAAATGCACTAAGTACATCTATAGTCCTGGTTGTGTCATCACCTGTTAGCAAGTCACCTCTGCCCATCAAGATCAAAATTTCAGTGGATTTCCTTAATTAATACACTGAGTGAGATACACTGAGGCCATGCTGAACTGTCATTTAATGCTGAAAGCCTCAGAATTGTTATGACTGTCAAACAGTATATTTGGTTTGGGTGAGAGAATGGGGTTAATGCAGCCTTGACAATGGTTTATTTTACTATGTAATCATGATTACAGTCATTGGTTATCCATGCACACACTTCACATTGCCCAGTTAGAAGTCAGGCATATGGAAATCACAATACACAACATTAATATTTGAATGGGTCATAATATGCAAGCCACCTGTGGTTAGTCAGAGGCACAGAAGCAACACTCAATTGTCTGTCTCTTTCAAAGACCATAATTAAGCTAACCTATGCCACTGCGTAGAGTTGGTCTGTTTCTATTTTTAACACTATTATGTATGCCTAGGCTAATTATCTATACTATGCCAGGGCATAGGTTAGCTTAAAACCTACAATTAAGAAACAGCTTAATTGTAGCTGGATTAGACAGTCTAGACACCCAACAATGCTATCTGACAGTGTCTCATGGTGGTACTACATCGCTCACGTTGCAAGAGAGAGGGTTGATACTGAAACAGATGACTGACATGCAACCGTGTTCCAAAGTTTTGATGCAGGGGAGACTTCAGCCATGGGGAGACATCACTGTTCTGTTCTTTGGAACTGCATCCTTTGAACTGCAAGCGCTCACATGCAAACTCTTTTAAAGAAACTACACACAGGCTGAACATCCTACATTTGATGCCATCTAGCGGTTGCTGCATGCTCCGGCCACACCCTGTGAAGTGCAGGACTTCACAATGCACAACAGTGCAACGCTATATTACAGTTGGTTGTGTTCACAAGTGCAACAGACTACACCTGACCACACCCAACTGTGGGTGTTGGGTGTGGTCAGTGGTGCAACAGACTTGAACCTTTCAACCCGTAGAGGTCAGTGCAACAATTTTGACTCCATATGTTATGTGGAGTTGCTCATTAACAATCTAGGAGGCATCTTTACAGCACAAAACTGTGCCAGTGGTGAACAATTCTCCAACTTGCTGGTACATTCAAAAACATCATTCTGATAATTTAAGTGTCATTAAGTTTCTGACCATGCAGACACATGCTTTGGATTAGGAATCAAGTCGTTATCTTTAGTAGTTTTTGTGTCATTTCTAAGATTGCCTAAGAATGTCTAATGTCTAAAATGCCTGTCTACAACTTGAAAAGCCAAGATCCAGACCACCACTTAATAATAAACTGCTACATCCTAACCCAAAGTCTCTCTGTCCACCAAACTGCATAAGAATTCTACAGTACATTTTTTTAAATTTCCTGCAAACAAGCTAGCTAACAGGGACAACATTAAATTCGGCTTGAGAGGGTTAAAAAGGAATTTCAGGGATCTACAACCTAAATACTCACAAAATCCTTAACAAGGTGATTCCAAAGACAATGTTTCTTGGCTGGCATAGCATAGACAAGCACAGTAGAAGGCGGGAACCTCATTGAAAAGCAGCTAATGTTACAGCTAATGCCCTAGGGTCAACTAGACAGCCTTGTAGGACAAACACAGTCTGAGGGAAGTCAAAACACATAGGGATCATTTACAGAGCATTTCACTGTATTCGGCACAGTAGCACATAGCTGATGTCCTGTGAGATCACACAAACTACTCACTGTACGAGGGAATTTCTTTACTAGTTCATATTATCATTTAACTGTCAAATGGTATGTCATTTTGGAAGTGTTTACACAGCGGGTAGTTAATCTAGTAGATTCTATCACATAAAGAACAAAAACTGGTGCACATAGGACTATTCTAAATTGAGTCAGAGAAAGCACTGCTCATTGTACTAAATGTATTTTAGGTATTCATCAAAGACTTTTCAATGTTCAACCAATGAAGTGCATGATCAACAAATAACTCAAATTAGAGGAAGAGGAAGCCATTACATCATCAGAGTATTCGTTATGACTTTTGAAAGAGGTAGCAGACAAATTGAGAGTTGCTTCTGTGCCTCTGAAAAACTGTAGGTGGCTTACAATTATTGAATCATCCAAAGATTCATTTTCAGCATTCTTTGCACCCTATGCTCACAGGGCATTACTGATTCAACTGCCAGGACTAGATTTTAAAGCTGCATTAAGTAATTTTTGACCACTAGGGGGCGGAAAGACTCCAGAACAAGTTCACAACAGTTAGCAATTAGCTTATGAAGTTGTTATGGCTAACATGTTAGCAAACAGTTGCCTACTTACATATCCAGCAGAAACAGAGCAACACGGACATCCCTTTGGTCTCCTTTTTCTGGCCACCTGTTGAATGTAATTCCAATATTCACTGGCATTTAGCCCTTCTTTGGTCGTCCCGCTCAAGAGAAAAATCTCTTTTTGGTTTACTAAATGTTGAAGTTTCTTCACCAGTTACTTCGGCTGTTTGCCATTTTGCACTGGGCAGTTAGCATACAATTAGCTTGTTTTAGCTTCTGTGTCGGTAGCAGCTGCCCACGGTGATACACAAGCCAACATTGTTTTCGTTCTGTCACTCCGGAAACCAACACAATGAGCTGAAAATGGCTGAAAGCTGTGTAGAGCTTCAAAGTGAGATGTTGATTCTCAGTGGTACTGGCAATACTACCAATCCCATAAGTAGGAGGGAGTCATATGATTAAATGGTACAACATATTGCTTAATGCATCTTTAAATCAAGTCAACATGCTCTACTATATGCAGGTTCTCCATTGTTTCAGATCCCTGATCAAAAGAAGTTTTGGTATAATGCGGCTCACATCATCTCTGTCGCTGATGCAGTTACAATGTGGCTGATTTTTAAGGATAAAGCTACAATGCACCGTCTAGTCAGTGAGATAAGACCCAATTTTCTCTCCTTTAACTTGCACACAGAGCAAGACACATATACCCACACACACTCACAAAATCACAAAAGAGTTAGGCCATACCCTTGTTGCAGACAACCTGAGGTCTGGGTTAATGAGCACAGCAGTGCAGTCAAATTCTTATGCTTTGCGACTTTGTTTTTGCTCAAAGGCAATTTTAGATTCATAGATTTCTACATCCAGATTTCATAGGCTAAACCACTTTGATTCTTCACTTTTCCAAATGAGCATCCCAGCGTGACATTTGGATTGTGTTTAATAGGTGGAAAATTCCACTTTTGCATTTAATTAATCACACAGAGATGATGTGGAGCCCATTTTTCACGTAGATTTTACAGCATGTCTCCATGGCATGTCTCCACTGCTAATCAAACTAAAAGCTCATCTGTTCAACCCTCCACCACGAACCATTCTCACGCAAAATATAATAAATTATCTAATCAGACTTTCACTCTGATGCAAATACGCTTTTGCAGATAATAACAAAGTGAATGAACTTGTTATTCTTTCATATTCTGTCTCAAGTTCACACAGAGTTCAGAGCCATTTACTCCCCCTTTGATTCTACCTTCCACACCTGCTCGCTCACCATCCTTTCATCTTCTGCACCTCTGCTTTCCTCTCACTCCCACTCCCCTTTCCTCCTATGGTCTGTGGCCAACAGCATCAAACATAATCTATCAATAGCTGGGCTGTTAGGTAGTATCAACACAGGAATCTCTCTGAATTAACCATAATGCCCAGTAAAACCTCCTATTGATTATGTGCAATTAGTTTATCCCTTAACGAATGACGACTGTGGAGGATAAGGGTGAGGAGAGCAGGGAGGAGGGCCGGACGGGGGAGGCAGTGATGACTGTGGGGGACTGTAGAACAGAGAAGAGCACTGGGACAAGCCTGAGGAGGGGGTTTCTGTAGGGATGCCATCAGCTGATACATACAGAATAACATACTGTCTACTGAACATGAAAACACCCAGCTCATCAGTATAAACAAAACCACAGATGCGAAACCAGAAAATAAAACCTTTACTCACAAAATCGATTGGTGTCTTACCTTCCAATCATGGTAGAGTGCTGCTGGACAGCCGCCTCCAGCAGCCTCTCCAAAATGGTCCATTCCCCCATGGTGATGGAAAAGTGGCAGAGCTGTCAGAAGAAACTGGACTGGGGTGGGGGCTCCTTCTTCTTCTTCTTCTTCTTCCTCTTCTTCTTCTTCTTCTTCTTCCCAGGACCAGCCTGCGCTCTTGTGGAACGCTTGTGCGCTCAGGTGAACACCCAACCCCCGTCCCGCACCAGCTCCCTTTTGACCTCTACTCGTTGACCTGGCCGCTCGGCAGTGCGTCTTTGACTGTGTGTATGAGAGTGAGTGTCTTCTCCTGGGCCCGTCCCGTTGTGCTTCTCCTCCTCTGGTGGAGGAGAGGTGCTGAGCTGATTGCCTCCCCCTCCTCTCTCGCTCAGCCTCTTCCCTTCTCCCCCTCCCTTGCACGGTGATGCTTGTCCTCCCCCTGCCGCACCACTCTGTTCTGCGCTACAGCATACCTTATGCTATAGCTCACTGCATGACAGCCATGATCACCCACTCTTTTCCATTTGCCTCTCTCCGTCCTCTTGCTCTTTTCTCCTCTTCCTCCTCTGTCCCTGCCTTCGTCCTCCACCCTACCCCCAGGGCATTCCTTGTACTTTACCTGCACTGCCTGCCATCAGTGCTGCTCTGTGCTCGTCCTTGCATTGTATAGGATATTTGCCTTTGCTGCACCCTTGCTACTCTAACCTAAACACACACTGCATACAGCTGATCCTCCACGGCTCACCTCAGCAAACAGCACTGTAAACACACACACACACTCGATGACAGCTCCGAATCCCACTCTCCCACTTCCTACTGAGGACTGCAGATCCACACCAGCACACAAAGCTGCTGCCTGCTGAATGTCATTTTATGACTGGAGGAATGGTCGCTCCCACAGCTCCGAGCGCTACAAGGACCCATAAAAACCTGCACACACACACACACACACACACACTCAGAGCTGCACACGCAAATACGCTGCCACCCAGCCCTTCAGTAATAAATCAGCTGCCTTGCTGCATCCAGGGAGGCTCAACCAAGGCAATGCGCTGCAGACCTGCTGTCCTGTGTTGTCCCCCTGGCTAATTTCAGCACAGTCCAATGCCCAGAGTCATGTCTGCCGCAGAGAGCGGGGATGAAAATCTGTCCTGTGAAGCCTATTTCTGGGTTCCATCATCTTGCATCCCTCTCTCCCCCTCCTCCCGCTCTCCTTCAGCCTCCACTCTCTTCCTCCTTCCCCTCCTTTGCTCACGCTTGTGTGCAGATCTCAGTCTTGCCAACTACCTCTATCTCAGTGTTCGGTCCCCATCTCCTCTTTGTGCTCTCCCTCTCCGTCTCTGTGTCTCTTTCTCGCTCATGGAATCGCTCTATCTCAGTCACACTCTGCGAGCATGCAACACCCCCCCCCGCCCATCCTCCTTCTCCTCTCATAGATCTGCCCTCTCTCCTCCCTCTCCCTCCTTCCCTCCCTCCGTACTCTGATAAATGTGCTTGGATTGCTACCCTGATACACTGCTTCACTTATGCTTGCAAGAATGCCTCCCACCGCACTGCTGTGTCTGTTCCTGCCTGATGTTGCACAGAAAAGAGGGATTCGAGATCTAACCGTGCCTTTTGCCCTGTCTTCACTGCAATCCTTTGTTTGAGTCGGGAAGCTCTGCTGTGTTTCCCATACTCCTCAAATGCTCTCTTCTTTTCTTTTCACACACTCTGTCACATCATCCAGCCCGTTTTTCCACGAGGAGGATTAAAGGAGAATTGTAGCTCTGCTCCACCCAATCCCCCCATCTACCTCCTCCTTTTCTTACTATCTTAACAATCTAACAACACACCTATTTCACCCTGACCCAACCTTCATGTCCTTTCTGCATTTCCTCTCATCTTTTCTTTCTGTTCCTCATTTGGTCCATTTCCCCACCCTCCCCCATTATAGACCCCATGATCTCTCTCCCTCTCCGGAGAGATGAGCACCGTATTGTACTTTGCTTTGACATTGAAAGCTGTATTCATTAGATTTATATTAAGGTGGTGTGGAAATGGGATGGTCTCCCTCCATTACACACAGTGATAAAGACTGGTGTATGTCGTGTAATTAATGCACTCACACACCTGTACAGTAGACAAATACATGCGTGTATCTTCGTCTAAGAGGCAAGAAAAGAAAGGATACATAACATAAGAGCTAAGAAAGAACAACAAGTTGTTTTTTTCCCCCAAGATGTGAGTCATAGCAACGTTTTCCCATTTAGAAGACTGAGTCAAGTTTTGCAGAAGTAAATGATGCAGTGGCATGACACGAGACCAAACCAGAATGAAGTCATGGCTTGAGGTGACAAGTCCAATTCATTTGTGTTGTGCTTCTCTTTAATTACGCTTCTTTGATTTTGGATGACATGCTTTTTGTTGCAGAATAAGGTGCATGCCTTCAGGGAGCTTTGGAAAATGTTATACCACTTTAACATCCTCAGATCCTGTGCCGATGTATTTCTGAAAACAAATAGCAGTGATGTGAGCTCATTTACAATCACAGCCCTTACATAACAACCTCTACAGTGCATAAGTAATCGATCTATCTTGTTGTGTACTATGTGGATACACACATGCAGCCCTTTGTGCGTGTGTGTGAGAGAGAGAAAGACTGAGTGGAGGGAGACAGAGAGCGAAAGAGGATTTTGCCAGCTCAGCATCTTTAGCGGGGTCTTTTCCTTACCAAGGACATATGGTGTAGGAGTGCTGTTGAGGAGAGCAAGGAGGGGAGGTGGACGGTGGAGTGTGATGGCTCTAGTTTGGCGAGGCTTGGGTCGCACACAGAGCAGCTGAAGATCTGGCATCAGCCGGTCGGCGCTCCGAGAGGAGAGTTCAGAGCTGGATGGCTGCAAGAGAGAGGCGCAGGTGTGTCTTCAGTGACCTAGAACAGCCAGTTCAAGCATGCATAACACACATACTGTACTCACACACTTGTAATGCATCATCAGACATACTTACATCAATAATTACACAATGCAATTCATATTAGTGCAATAGTTTGGGTCCCACTGTAATGTATAGGGAAAAGCCAAACGCTCTTTCACAGCTCATGCGTGATCTCATAAGGACGCCTATGCAAACATACCCTATATATGTCACTTTGTACTGCACATATCTGATAGGGATAATCAGTATTTAAGCCCATATAACGTTAATAAGAATTATATAAGAGTGAAATTATCTTCACGAGGGGCACTTGCAAGACCCCAGCTTTATTCCTACTACAATTCACAAACATATTATTGTGGATTATTTCTGTCTTGAGTTGAAGAAACATCAATAGTGAAACAAACATAGGAGACAAATATACAAAATATTGTGCAAGTATGCAAAATATTAGGAAAGCCATAGGCCCTGTAATCTCACACAATCCATATGTCTCCTTTCTGACATCTTAAAAACTATATTTTGAGGCAGATTTATCAGGTGAAACAAACAGACAATCAAACCGCTTGATCAGATTAGCATGTCAAGAAGACAGCAAGTGTTTTTGATGTGTTTTGATTTATTTTTTTCTGCTTGAATCTGAAGATGTTTTGAAACATTTGTTGATGTGTTGCAATAGAATAAGACATTTGAAACTCTTTGGGTTGTAGGTGATTGCTATTAAATGTCTTAATGGTTGATGTTACTGATGTTTATGTTCCAGTCTTCATTTTATAGAACATGTTTCAAGGTTGATTGATTTTTCTGAGACACAGTTTAGATGAATACGATTAACTGTGTTCACAAAGACAATTATGCCAGTTGGCTTGATGTTGAAAGGTTGTCAGCAAAGCCTTGCATTGATATAGTGGATGTAAGACTGTACATTTGCACATTGCAGTGATGTCTCTGAACAAAAAGAGATGTGTTTCGACACCAACAAGGTGACTTAATATTGTCATGTAAAAACTTAAGCATTTCTGTCTAATATTATACAGGGGTTATAGTATTACACAAACATAAACACATGGCATGGTATTGCTGAATCAGAATTCCTCTGAATCTTTGATAAGAGGAAGATAGAAAGATAAGCTAAAAGCTCAAGCCTCTGGTCCTCTCAATTTAGGCTGAGATGTTTAGCCCCTTATGTCATGTCTATGTTCCTTTGTATGTTGTGTGTGTATGTTTATATGTTGGTATTGTGTCGTCTGTGTGCTTTATGTATACTTGTATGCTTTTGTTTTTACTTTTATGCGGAATGGAGTTGTCTCTGTACTTTCCCTCTAGTCTCTGTAAAACTAGTTCTTTGCCTTTTCTTCCTATCCTGGGACATGTTCCCATGTCTTAGGCACATTGTGTATTTGCAAAAGGATGATGGTAAAGTTGTGTTTTGTATGGTTTTCATGAATTAAATATAGAAAAAAAAATGTATCGCAAAAAGTATTACACATTATTAGTAGTACGCTATAGGGAATACAAGCTTCCAGTAGCGGTGAGGTGAGAACTCCACCTTGAGGACATACAATGATTCAACAAGCTTCGATCACAGGCTTCTTCTTTTGGTTTTGCCTGTAGCTTTCTGTTTGTACACTAAACGTCCGGCTGATGAAATTAAGGTGCTATATCATTCAACCCGTGTTTATTCATGTTATAGTCTGCAGTGCGTTGCTGTAATACAGGGCTACATGTTTTGTTTTTTTTAATCATGATGTGTTAATTCTCCAACAGTAGAGGGCAGCATAACAGTATGGCCAAACAACGTCAACTTCTTGGATGAAGAAGAAGAGTAGCCCAGAGAGGCTAGCTGGTCCAGACATGTCAGAGAACTGACAGTAATGCTAACTTGGCCGCAGTAGTTAGCGAGTTATCAAAAAGTCTCTGGAAGCTTAAAGGAGTGAATAAAGGGCACCACACCTCACCAAGTGGCCTGCGTAGAGGGTTGACAAACCGGTAAAACATTACGGATCCTGGACCTTTGATACCTGACAACAGCTTGGTAGCTAGCATTAGCTGGCTAGCTGTGGAGCTCCCGAAAAGTAACGTCAGGGTTTGTTTGAGACAGTCATGTCGGCGGCCGGAGACTTCGGGAACCCTTTAAGGAAATTTAAATTGGTCTTTCTCGGGGAACAGAGTGGTGAGTGAAGTCTGACGTTAAAAATTGGTGCGTTGTAGGATCTGAATTGTGTCTCTGGGGGAGATGATAACAGTAGTTTGATCGGGTGACTAACGTTGGCCAGTTAGCTAGCTAACAGTAGCTGCGTAACGTTAAACTTAGCCAAGTGGTTGCATTGCGACACCGTACCGTGTTACTCACTGCTTGTCCACGCTGGCAATTGTGTAAGTGCAATTCATTTTCTCCCTGTTAACAATCGTGTATCTGTTTTCATAGGTAAATCTGTGGGGGCGTTCATTATAGAGTCTGAAAGAGTCACGTTACAGTTTCCACACCTGTGTGTGTTTAGCATGCCAACACAAAGCGCACAGTGTGAGCTGAATTTTGGGCTTTGTATAAAATGTAAATGCACATATCCAACGTTTTCTCTCCCAATGCCGAGTCCTCAAATTTAGGTATTGGTTGGTACTAAGTGAGTACTAATATGATACTAATACTTTTTAAAACAGAGTTTAAAATTGGTGGACGCCACTGCAACAAACTCATTGGATTATTTTTATGCATGCCTGCCGAGAATTCCCTGCACCCCGCGGGAAATAACACTTATTTATGCTGAGTAAAAGAGGTGGATGCAAATCTCGGCAGGTAGCCTACATCATCTGTTTTGCCGAACTTCAGACATTTATTTGTGCACATTGATGAAAAGCAGTCATCACCACATCTTTTTGCTGAATCTCAAGTAATGCTACTTCTAAGTGTATTAAAATATTAACGACTCTAAACCTTCATAAAATATATGGGCCTACATCGAATCAATTATCACCATTGATGAACCCCATAAAGGATATTATACTGTTTAAAAGCAGTATTTGGAGGTGCATGCAATTCTCGGCAGTAATGCAAAATTCGACATAACACCTGGTACTGCTGTGGTCCTAAAAGCATTTAGCTGCCTGCTATGACTCAGTGAATGGATATACTATATAACTGTTGCACAATCTGCTTAATGAGCTCAGTATCAGCACAGATGCTGATCTGATTGGTGCATTGGTAGTTTTGGAAAAAGGATATGGTAGTGTAGAAAAGGTGCCAATTTCTCCTTTGCCAGTAATTATTTTGTGCAGGCATTGTGCCCTGTAATTTGACTCTCCACTCCCATCAAGATAAGACAGACAGACTTTGTGTTTGTCACACAGTCTGTGATCAGTTGTGGGTCCTTGTAAAATTGTTACCAGCAGCTTTGATGCACAGTGTAAATGATCACGTAACTGAGTCTAACTAAAACGGAGAATCAAAATGAATACGCTCTCCGTCCACAGAAGCGTTTCCGCTGCGTTTTGGAGTTGATCTCCCTCTACATTAAAACGACTGAAACGCACAGCTAGGACCCATTCAGGTGCACTGGGCATGCGCGTTCCAGTGTAAACACGAAGCAGATGGTCTATTCCATAGTTACAGAAGATCTGGCGAAAGAATAAATAAATACAGACTAAGCATCAGACCAGTTTTTTTTTTTTTGTTGTTGTTGCATGGATCAATAACGAGCTGGGACTGTTACTGAATGTAACACGGGAGTGTGGCGGCAGAAAACAGACTGGGAGTTGTTGCAAAGTAAACGGCGACATGCACAGTACAAGTGTAGGCAGATGAGTGTTATTGTACGGTACACAATATTTAAAACAAAATATATGATGTCAAAAACCCGGTCAGCAGCATTGTGTTTCTGCTTTGCAAGACCCAATCAGAGAGCTGAGTGTAAGCGGCTGCGTCATCGTTTCTAAAGTCCAGTTCAGTTTTGGCCCGTCTTCACTAAAACGCCCTCGGCAGCGTTTCCAAACTTCTCCGTTTTAGGTCTTCCTTTTCATCGTTGTAGTCTGGACGGGAGGTGCAAACGTAGCAAAAAATCTCCGTTTTAATCCGAAGACGCAGTAGTGTGGATGGGGCCTTAGGAGCACTGTCTGGGTCTTTGAAGCAGCCTACAAGTGGCTCTCTCTGTAGTGATGTGCTAAAAGTTCTGTTTTACAAGTTAACATCAGCAAAGTTGAATGATATGAGTCATTTTACAGTTTCTGTTTTCAGTAAATGTGGAAGAGTGTGGTAAATCAAAAGTTTTTTAGCGTAGATATGGAGCACCAGAAATCCTCAAAGTTGGTCAGTTATTAGAAGGGAAATAAATGGGGAGCCTGGTTCCCAGCCTTACTTGTCTCTCAACATTCCTCAACCTTCCAACTTCACCTCAAATACTTGTGCACCACACCCTTTAATGGACAATAACTTTCAGAGGGGTGCAGGAGTTGCATGACTTCAGTCCATTATAAGGGTTCGTCATCTGTGGCTCATGTTCTGTACAGCACTTTGATGCTGGCACTTAATTTTGCTTCCTATATGTTTTCTTATCTTCTTACTCCATATATCTTTCTATGCTTTTATGTTATATGCTAATATTTCTTATTGCCAGCAAAGTTACACATCAGGCAGACCTATATAAGAGTAAATGATGGTAGAAGAGAAGGTCACACAGGCTACTTTGGATTTGAATAAATTTACACATTGCTTTATGATGTGACGCAATGGCAGTTGTGCGGCTATTATCGGTCAGGGGTTGTATTTAGCTTACAATATTGTTTATGTTTGAAACTGAAATGAGAACGTATTAGTTGATTAACTGGTTAGTCAATCAACAGAAAATTAATTAGTTGTTTATCACTGCAGCAGCCACTGTTTCCAGTCTTTCAAATGTCAGAATGCTGCTTTTAATGTTTTATATCATTATAAACTGAGTAGTTTTGGGTTTTGGTCTGATAAATAAAGCAACGTGAAGACGTCCCCTTGGGTTCTGATGAATTGTAAAGGGCATTTTTAACTATTTTCCAACATTTTATAGATTAACTTATAGATCAGTCAGGGGAAAAAATATATAGAAAAGAATCAGTAGATTATCAATTATTAAAATAATCGTTACTCGCAGCTCTGCTTGTGATAGACATTGTCATTTTGAATAAGAACTGATTAACGTACAAACTGAAATGAATCAGTACTTTATTGTTTGTTTGTTTTTCAGTGGGAAAGACTTCGCTGATCACCAGGTTCATGTATGACAGCTTCGACAACACTTACCAAGTGAGACAAACCCTACGTCATTTAATCACCTTTAATAATTAATGTTCATATTATTCTAAAATCAAATGAATAAAGAATATGGTTATGCATATTTAACTGCTTATTACCCATTTTCAGGCCACAATAGGAATAGATTTCCTGTCGAAAACCATGTATCTTGAAGACAGAACAGTAAGTTTTATTCTTTGTTTGGTTTTTATTTTCAGTCCTTGATTGTTGGTTGTCTTTGTCCAGCTTGGGGTAATTCTCTTAGTGACTGTAAGGATTTGGTGCAAATAATATCAAGGGGCACTCAGATACTGACTGCTGACATAACTTTTTCTTTTTCTTAAAGAATTAAGTTGTTCTCTCTAACAAGCGCACACAGCATTTGCGCTGCCTTTCAAGTGTGTGCGCTAGATGCCGTGCCCCCTGGACCGTCCTTCCTTCCTTTCTTTGTTTGTTTCCCCCCTCAAAACAAGTTTTCTTCCTCTCTCTCCTACCCCTCCATTTATTATCTTCATTCCTGTTTTGAAATTAAACACCTTACTTGATCAAGGGAGGAAGGTTGATGACAAGTGAAGGGTGATTATTTATTTCTCCAGGCCCAGAAGGCTTGCTCTCTCTGTTGGTCATTCACTGCCTGCATGCACTACGCTCTCTCTGTCTTTTCTCATTCGTCTGAATTTATTTAGTTTTCTTTCAATTTTTTGTCGCCATAACTTACCTCATTTCTGACCTTGGTTTTATCTTGTTTTATTTATTTTTTTATCTCTTCTGGGATTTGTTTTTCCCTCCTCCTTTTCTTTTTTTTTTTTTATTCCTCCTCCCGTCCCCTTCCCTTGTCTGTCCTGCAGATCAGGTTGCAGTTGTGGGATACAGCAGGGCAAGAGCGGTTTCGTAGCCTTATCCCGAGTTACATCAGAGACTCTGCTGCTGCCGTTGTAGTGTATGACATTACAAGTAGGTGGATTACCTGGGCACACAGATGTTCTTATAAAACACTGTCTGTTATTTAAATTCGGGATGCACCGAAATGAAAATTCTTGACCGACGCTGAAACTGAATATAATGAAGAAATTTGTCGAAAACCGAACACTGAACAAGTACATTCACATTTTCCATTTATTTTGCCTTTTTTTTTACCATTGCATAAATTAAATAGTCAAAATGTGCTGCTTTTTACTCAGTTTTCCCCACAGGATTTGGAGAGATTGTGGTGGGGGGGTCCAAGGCCCAAGAGGGTCCAGTAAAGTATCACATGTGTCCATTTACTTTTAACGTGCACATGTAATATGTTTTATACTTTCTGTGAATATAATTCAATTATTCTTATTTCCATGCTGTATAGACACCTTGTTTTGAAAACCGGACGTTGTCACATGCATATCCTCACGCTAAATTCATCAAGTCCAACCCAGTTTGATAAATAATGTTGTATGTTGTTCTCGTATCGTGTAACATGAAGACTTTATAGCCTCTCTTCAGGTGGGACTCTCATACATAATACGTCTTTGTAAAGAGAGAAAATGACAAGATAAAGTCGCTAACCTGCCTGTCAGCTCGCTCTGGGCCGTTACAGTGGATTTACCATAAAGGCCTGAATACATGTGTGCTCCAAATTTAGGTGCGGCTAGCTTAATCGCCTTCTCAGAAACAAGTGACAGAAACACTCAAAGTGGGTCAGACCGTTTGGTGCCTTTTCTAAGAAGTCAGTCATAGATGGTGTGGATGTGCTAGGAGACAATTTTGCAGAACAGCGTATGCGAACAGCGATTTTTGTCTTTCTCGGACACTTAAAATTAGGGCTGCACGATATTGGAAAAAACTAACATTGCAGTATTTTTCTTTTCTGCAATATATATCGCAATATGACATAAAAACAGGAAGTTTCACCAGATTACATCAGTTGCTCTATTTGTAAATAATTGAGCATCCTAAAGGAATTGATCAACTGATCGAGAATAATATTGGGATTGCTAGTTCACTGTGCATGCAGAGCCTGCTCGTCACTCACTAGTTACAAACTGTGTATCCAAGAACTATTAAATCGGAGTAAATGATGTTACATCTGACAAACTTGAAATGAGAACTGTCCAAGTTTTCCTTTTGTATCAAGCAGCAAAAAAGTTGAGGTGGTTGAGTTGATATTGCACTGTTCTACGATGTGACTGTTGCGTAAGAGCACATTGTGATGATGATGCTCCGGCAACATATTGTGAGGCCCTACTTAAAATGCTTCCACTCTGCCGACATGTCAACATAGTTGTTCGGTAAGGATTTATTCCGTCTTTCGACGCATTAGGCCGAACACCGCAAGTGCTTTGTTTGCTATTTTCGGCCTATTAATTTTGGTGGCTGAACATTTGGTGCATCCCTAATTTAAATTTGAATACAGCAAATACTATTTATTGCATAATTTCTTTTTCATTTTAAAAATCTGTTATTTCCATATGTAAACATCAGACTTGGTCAGGATGTGTACAAATTGTAGTTCTGCCTCCTTACTGTCGTCCTGTCACAAACCTGTCCGTTTTCACAGCCGAGGCTTTTCATGTCCTGAATACTGATGCTCTGCTCCCTGTTTCTCTCTTGACTCTCTTTCAGACGTCAACTCTTTCCAGCAAACCACAAAATGGATTGACGATGTGAGAACAGAGAGAGGAAGTGATGTCATTATCATGTTGGTGGGAAATAAGACAGACCTTGCGGACAAAAGGTAATCTGTTCCTCCCTCTTCCTGTGTGGGTGGGCTCCCTCCATTAGGAGCATACTAATGAAGTCATTGATTGATTGCTGCTGGCCTGTCAATACGGAGTTCCGCTGCCCGTTCTGGGGCGGCATTTGATCAGAGCAGTTTACACTGCCCTTTGTATATGTCTAAGCTGTGATTGACTTTGACCCTCTTTGTTTCAGCCTGTCTTATTTGAAGATATTGATTATTTAATTTTTAACAGATCTAGCTAATAAATTGATAGTTGTCAACTGTGATGTTTGATAATATTTAATCTGTCAATGTGTACTTTATCCACCTGCTTAATGAAGTAAGTTGTGCATTGTCTTTGGCTGTACATCTCTTAACCCCCCGCCCCGTTGTCTACCGCAGGCAAGTATCTATTGAGGAGGGCGAGCGGAAAGCCAAAGAACTAAATGTAATGTTTATTGAGACTAGTGCGAAAGCAGGCTACAACGTAAAGCAGGTAAGACTGTGTGTGAGTCGTGCTCTGTAGCCCTGCTGTGGATGCTGCCGCCTGGGCTCCACCAAAGGTCTCCTGCCAAAATCAGAGTTTAGAGGTGTGGGGGAGTTGGATTTTAAGATCTTAAAGAGTCATTCTTGATTCATTTAGACCTTCTAAAATAGGCAACTTGTACATTTACCAGCTTTAAACCAGCCATTGTTAATTTTCTGTCCAAATTTAAAGCCTTCTGTCCCTGTTGTGGAGCTCAGCTAACACAATGAGCAGTGTGAAGGTCTACTAGACGTCTATCTGGTCTCGAGCAAAGGTGGCAGTAGCAGCAGGAAGGGGCACGGCTTGTTTATCCACTCCAACATAATCACAGTCTGTATTTTTCCTCCCTTGTCTTCTTGTCCGTGTATGTGGCGATGTGTGTTGCGCGTGGTGGCTCATCACAGACAGATAACCACAGAAGAGGGAGAACAGAGAGCGAAAGAGATGAATGTTCTGTTTATTGAAACAAGTGCAAAGACAGGCTACAATGTCAAACAGGTAGAGCGTGTGCACCTTTTGTGTGTGTGTCCATAGTGCTCATGCTCTCTTGTGACTGGCTTCTACTTCACACACGCATGCGTGCATAAAGGTGTGCTTTTAAACACTGGCTTCCTCTGGTCGAAAGTGAGGAGTGTGGATTTGTTTTTCAAGCTCTGTCCCACCTGCTAGAAGTAATGATTTGTATTGGCCATCCCTTGATCAAACAACACTAGAGGTGGGTCAGGGTTTGCAAACCAGTACTCTCCACTCCATTAACTAGCACAGTGACGGTGTTTTTGTTGCTAAATCTGCATGTGTACCAAGTCTACTTCTGTGTGATGCTGTTTAGTGGGGGGGTTGGGCATGTTGAGCTTCATAAATTCAACACTGTCCCTTTTTTAAAATTCATTTGAATCAATCAATAGCTTAAAATCACCATTTTATCAATGTAAATCTCAGTAAGGCAAAGTTACACCCTCCTTCCAAGCCACCTCTGCAGTGCAGAAATACGGTCTTGCAGCTCACACATGCTGCTCAAGTTTCGAATCAAATTAGGAAAAGCTCTGGTGGGTGTCTTCCTCTGTGCGAGCTTCAAGTGAACCTTATGTTAAATCATGTTAAGGGACTATACACGGCACGCCATCTTGATTTCATCTTGTGTGTCATACATATATATTTCCTTGTCTGACAGAATGCATCTGGTTCTCTTTCCCTGCAGCTTTTCCGTCGCGTGGCAGCCGCCCTGCCTGGCATGGATACCACACAGGACAAGAGTAGAGAGGACAGTATCCTTTTGTATACATGTCAGTGTTTGTGCCTGACATGACTCTTCTCTTATTGCGTGTCATATGGATATTCTACACCAGGACGAAAATGTAGTTGAGCACTGTGACAGCTAGCTATTTAACCCATGTGTCTCTATAGATTTGTTATACCAGTGATGGCTCATAATGTGCTCCAATTTACTGACTATTTTACTGCGTATAATCTTAAAGAAATACTCTTATTCGTGACTACTGATTTGGATTGAAATAATGGTTACAATCATGGTTAAAACATTTCAAAACATCCATAGAAACTTCTCAAACAGCTCCTGCTACATAAGCCACTTCTCACTGTTGGTTCAATTGTTCAGTTTGTACATGTATTTAATACTGTGAAGAGTTTTGTACTAATGAGACTATCCCTTTAAAATATGATGTTTCTCAACAGAATTTCTTTTGAAATGCAGTTTGGAGGATTTGACATATAACTGAGCTCTCACAATGGCTGTTTGGTTTATATAAAACTGGATTAAATTTGGAAACCCCTGTCACGTCCTGCAGTAGAAAAAAAAAAAGTGAAACAATTTTCTACACATGTACAGCAACGTTATCTCTGATAACTTAAGTTGACGAGTTTGTTAAGTTCAAACAACCTCTCATGTTCATTTCAGACTTGAATTTTTCCCGTTCTGTGACTTTCCTTAACTCCTAAACTCTTCAGTGATTGACATAAAGCTGGAGAAGCCACCAGAGCAACCCGTCAATGACGGAGGCTGTTCCTGCTAATGCCAGCCTATTTCACTGCTAAATATTTCTCTTACTGGGTTTTTCCGTATCTGTATCTCACTGCACCTGTCTCTGTTCCCCAGCCTGAAAGAGAACACTAAATCCGTTATCCTCGCCATTGTGGAACCCCTACTCTGTCATCTGGATGCTCTGAAAGTAATATTTGCACTCTTAACACACATACGTTGAAATGGTATTTACAGCTGTTTTTGTGATTTCAAACAGACAAAGATGGCAGCAGGACACTAATAAGTCATATTGCTGTAGTTTGTGTCTAAAAGATGAGTTTTTGAACCAAATTGAATGAAAGAAAATGTGTGTTTACAAGACAAAATCAAGGTATGTGTATAGGAGTGACAATATTCTTTAAAAAATGTTAAACATTGCTTTAAGTTTCATAAGAACAATGTGGATGTTTTATGCATTCGTCAGTTAACATGACGTGTGTTGTTGCAATTGACTGGCAAGGATTCATTCATGAGTTGTGTAAACAACAAACTGTTCTTTTTTACAACTGATTGGAAATAATGTATGGAAACGGTTTGCAAAGTTGCAAATCAGCGGGGACATCTCAATGTCGACACGTTTGCCGTTGGAACCGTGAACCTAGTTTAAACTGAGTGTGCGCTTTGTGGTGCCTCTACCAGCAGAGTCAGCTCTCCCAACATGTACCAGCGTGATATGACGAGCCGACACACAGTCACACACACCAGAGCGTCTCAGACTAACACACGACACATACTACAAGAGCAACACTACTGCTGCACACTTCCACCCACCCACATTACCGTCCTTCCTCTCTTCCCACACTTGTTCCTTGAGACGCGTTATTTTTACCTTGGATTCCATTTTCTATTACCTTTTTATTTAGATCTATCTTTAATTTTTTTTTTTTTTTTCCTGAAGACTACAGCAGTCATAGATTAAAACTTATTTCTTTGATGATAGTCTTTGAGGAGGATTTTCTCATATTAAGAGTCATAATCATAAAACCCACCATAAACCAGATATGGAGACATATGCCTTTTGGCGTTTAATTATAGAGGGCTTCCTTGACTTTTGGGTTTATCTAGTTAAGTTTGGTATGATGTTTTATAAACACGCAATACTTTGTTTTCTTTTGCTTGTTTTTATTTTTTGGCATTGATTTTTTGTTAGTGATTATTCTACATGTGTATTTAATCCACAATGACTTCTTGTAATATTTATTTCTATTGGATTCATCTTTTTTTTATGGCTGTTAATATCTTCACTTTTTGGTATGAGTCCTCGCTAATAAAATATGCATCCATCTGGACCACCTTTAACAGAATCAGTAGAGTGTCTGCTGTTCACTCTGTCACCTTTTTAAATGGCAATTTGATCAAACTGATAAAACCATGCAATGTTTGTGTGTGCTTATTGAGGAGAGTCTGACTTGTATAGCATAGTAGTCCTTAACGTTTCTGTCTGGAATGGTTTTAAATGAAAGAATAAAAATACACTTGTCACTGCTTCTGGAAGTCATCAATGTCTCATTGACAGCTGTAAGAGTTGAATTCAGTTATCTGCATGCTATTTTTCATAATTCCGTTTAACAGAACAACACTACCAGCAACTATTATCTACACATTAACTAACATTAATCAGCCTAGTAATCTGTCCTGCTGGTGCTGTATGATAGACCTGGACTAATAGGCTTATTTCACTGCAGATATTTACACCAGGCATACCTGCATAGTGTCCAGCTATTATTTATGCTTAAATGGAGTCTGGAGTGGCACATGTGACTATGGGAAGTTGTTTTATTGGGAGTGATAGTAGGGCATTCATAGCCACCTGTGTGCACTTGTAGCAAGGCGGGACTGAAGTGGGCAACTGTCCCAGGTCCAGATTTGCTGCATGTCACATTAACATGTTATGTAATGTTATTAGTTGCCCTTTTTAATAGGAATTATTATCAACATTAAGGTACAATACATTATAAGTTGGGTTCTGCATGATTATCAAAATTGTCAAAAATATTTGTTATTTTTCTGGTTTGTATTTAGCTTAGAGGGTGCATAATCTTAAACAAAATGGAATTGTGCATGCTCAAATGACATGGAAGTAGCCTAAAAAATGCGCAGAGGGCAGGAGGTGTGTGTGTGTGGACCCCACAGCAGGTATCATAAATGCGGCAATGACCATTGGTAGTCACTCAAAAAGGAAAATGCACACGTACAGCAATCAAAAAAACGTTATTTGAATAGCACCTTTCGTAAAGGTTAGTGCAATCCAGAGGTCATTGCAGGTGTGCGGGTCCCGTCCATGCTGGATCCGTGCACGATTGGTTCAGCTATTTTTGCAAGTCCCGCGAGAGTCCACAAAGCAGCTGTTACCCTGGAGACCAAGCTAAACAAGCGCTGCTCTGTGTTTCACAAAGCTTTGTTACTTAAAAAAGACTTTACAGGCAGATACACTGCAGCTTTCTTTGATTTTTATTTTATTTTAATCACTTAACTATAAATTCATAATGGGTAGCGATTACTACGAGACCCTGGAAATAAACAGAAATGCAACAGACGCAGATATAAAAAAGGCGTAAGCTAAACTACCATTAACTGACACTCACACACGTTTTATATCTGGCATAATGTGATTATTGTTATTTTCCCTCTTTTATCTAGATATCGACGTCTTGCATTGAAGTTTCACCCGAGCAGCAACAGAGAAACTGGCAGTACGGAGAGATTCAGTCAGCTGGGTGAAGCCTACGATGTTCTGAGCGACCGTAAGTTGCAACAACAGGGAGGCTGACATTTGTTTTACCTTGAAAGCTGGATTAGTATTAGGCTACTACAGCCAATCATTAGGCTACTATAGGCCCATGTTATAATAATGGGATCAGTCCTCACAGGGGCGCATGATACTCAACAAGGTTACATACAACTAAAGTAGAAGAGACACAGTCGAAATAATACCAATCATCAAATTAAATACATGTGGGAATAATCATACAGTTCTTATATTTTATTTTCAGCTTGTTTATCTCTAATGGCAAAAACGGACTTTTCTGCTCTTATATGTCTGTAGATGAACTCATTTTTAAGCATTAGGCTACTAAACGTTATATTTAAGAAGGCTATGACATGTTTGTACTACTGACAATTGAGAGGAAACTATTACTAAATAATGGCAATTAACAAGTGATAAACACTATCTGACCAAAATCTTGATAATAAAAGCACATTAAACACATTTTATTTAAAATCATCATCTGCTTGTATTCATAAAATGATCCACCTTTTACCAAAATACCCGTATTTGACCCTTTTCAGTATTATCAGTAACATACATGGAGACTGGCAGTGTGTATCTGTAACAATATATCTATGTTCTTTGTGACAGCTCGAAAAAAGGCAACCTATGACAAGTTTGGCCAGGAGGGTCTGAAATGTGGTATCCCAGCTGAGCTTGGCAGCAGTGGGGCTTGGTCATCAAAATATGTGTACCATGGGAATCCGGACAAAACATTCAGACAGTTTTTTGGAGGCAACAACCCGTTTGCAGGTGAGAAAAACAGACCAAACAGCAATTGTGCTTATTCAAATTTCATACTAATTGGGCTACATTAACTATATATTTTTTTTTTGCTAGACTTCTATACAAATGATATACCACTTCAGTTAGGTGGCCTGCAGCCAGGAGTGGTGAAGACACAAGATCCTCACATAGAGAGAGACCTTAATTTGTCCCTGGATGATCTCTTCCACGGATGCACAAAAAAGATTAAGATATCTCGCAGGGTAAAAGCAACCGACTTTTCTCATCCCACAGCTTTGGAGCGCTTTAATCATTCAATTATCCATAAGATTAGACTGAGAAGTCCTCATGGACACTCGTGTCTCCTAGATCTAGATCTAACAAAACAATCACAACAAGGTCCAAACAGACACACTGAATGAAATATATTTTTTCATTTTTACATTCATGTCTTATGCAACAGGTTATGAATGAGGACGGATACACATCCAGTATCAAAGACAAGATCCTGACTGTAGACGTGAAGCCTGGGTGGAAAGAAGGCACAAAAATAACTTTCCCAAAAGAGGGAGATCAGGTAAGAGAATAATGGTCACTAATAACTCACCCTGTCTGATGTCTGTGTAACGACTGGAGAGTGAACTCATCAGTTGGTACAATTTTTATCCCTTTAACCCCAAAGATCAAAGTTATCCATCCATCGTCAACCGCTTATCCTGTGTACAGGGTCGCAGGGTGCTGGAGCCTATCCCAGCTGACATTGGGCGAAAGGCGGGGTACACTCTGGACAGTTCGCCAGTCCATCGCAGGGCCACACATAGACAGACAACCACTCACACTCACATTCACACCTAAGGGCAATTTTAGAGACACCAGTTAACCTAGCCTGCATGTCTTTGGATGGTGGGAGGAAGCCAGAGCACCCGGAGAGAACCCATGCGGACAGGGGAAGAACATGCAAACTCCACACAGAAAGGCCGGGAAACCAGGGCCTTCTTGCTGTGAGGCGACAGTGCTAACCACCGCACCACTGCGCCGCCCAGATCAAAGTTGATGACTTTATTTAGTTTGAACAATGACTACAGGTCCTTAACCCAGTGCCACTGAAAATGAAAATTCTCAGTCATCCTGGTCAAAGTTATGACAACATACAACAAGTGCCCAAGTTCAAGAGAATGAGCATAAACACTTAAAGCGTGTGAATATCCAAATTGGACCTTTGTGAAAACAACTGCAAGTTCCAGGAAGAACAGGAACAAAATGGATGAAAAGGAAAAGAAGACTAAATGAAACAACATCGTGATTTCATACATGTCCAAAGTATCAGAGAAACTCAGGAGGATCTTTAACAAACAACACATCCCTGTGTTAATCCAAGAACACAAGACAGATACTGGTCCACAAGAAAAGCAATCTAGTGTATGCTGTCCAAAGCAGGGAGGAATGGACATACCTGTAAATTGGGGAAACTAAACAACTACACAAACGCATGGCTCAACACAGAAGGACTCCTCAGGTCTAGTTTCAGCAGTTTACCTACATCTGAAGGACAATGGACACTCTTTCAACGACAACAATGTACATATTTTGGACGGGGAGGACAGATGGTTCGTAAGAGGCGTGAAAGAGGCTGTTTACACCAGAATAGAAAGAACATCACAACAGAGCAGGAGGGCTATGGCACTACCTATTCCCCACCTACAATGCTGTCCTTTTCATCTCTTCCCAGGAGACTCACGTTTGGTCTCATGTGACAGTGCCAACGTCGTTCAGACTTGGCCTCACGTGACTCCACCGATAGAGGAGAGGCAAAACGTATTCAGGTTTCTTCAAACACATCCAGTTGCCCTTGGTTTTAACCTTCTTTGGATGAAAATTGTAAAGGGGATTTGATCTGATGTTGTTGTATTTGTTCTTCTACTGACCAAATACTGCATCAGAAAGATATGATTCATAATGGTTTCCCCAGATTGGTGAAGGTTAGGATAAATTGTTTAAATTGAGATTAGGATGAGTTATTTTGGTTCAAAACAAGGTATGACTTTGGTCATAGTCTCCACTGTTCCCTCATTTCATTGCCAATGTGAGTGTTATGGTGGTCTGAGTTTTAGCTTGTGGAACTGCTCTTAGTGTGCTATAAGTTTTAGAGGGAAGTATGTACGATTTTGTATGAGAAGCACAAAATATATAATGTGTTATTGTCTTCATTATTGTCTTTACATAATGATTCTACAAGTGATATTGTAAATTATGTGTTATGTTGGTATGTTTTTGATGTGATATTTATGAAATTGGAAGCTTGCTCAAGCTGTTCACCTTAGAATGCAGCACTTGACAGTTTTGATAGAGATTATTGAACGTAGTGGTTTAATATGGACGGGTTGTGAAGAATATTTTTGGGAAAGTGCATTTAATCATTCAATTGTGAATTGTTATACTTTCCACTGGATCTGCTGCATGGCCACCAGCAGGTGGCATCAACAGATCTCTTTCAAGGTGGTCACACATGCTTATAAATAAAACACAGTAACACGGGACATAATCGTTCATCATCACCTTTACCTCTTTGTTTGATGTGATTTGGTCAGTTTTGGTCAAAAACAAAGTATATGCACAAAAGTTATTACTTTAACAAGCTTTGCATAGTTAGTTAACAATGTATTACTTTTAGGGAAAGAACCTGACTACACGGTACTCACCCTGCTGTATTTTATCTTTAGGGACCAAGCAGCATCCCTGCAGATATTGTGTTCATAGTGCAACAGAAGAGTCATCCTCTGTTCATAAGGCAACATAATGACCTGATTTACAAGGCCCAAGTCTCTCTGGAGATGGTGAGTCATGTTTAAAGAACCAGAATAATAGGTTTTCTTTTTGTTAAAGTAGAATAAACACTTAACCTTTCCAACAGGCCTTGACCGGGTTCTCTGTGGATGTGGAGACACTAGATGGCAGGCTACTCACTATTCCCATCAATGACATTGTGCAGTAAGTGTTGCCCTATACTGGGGCCAAAGTGGAATACTAAATAACATTCATGTATAATACTGTATTTTGTATATATTATAAAGCATTAAGACCCTAACAGGGAGAGACTATCACATAAAATCAAGTACTTTATAATAACTTTACACTGAAACAGGCTAATTTCTAAAGTGATATGTTTTGGGTTTCACCTGAATCAACTACCATTTTACTGTCTCTGATTTGTTTGTCATGACACATCAGCCCTGCGTACAAAAAAGTGGTGACTGGAGAGGGAATGCCGCTGTCCCAGGATCCTTCCCAGAGAGGAAACCTCATCATTACCTTTGACATCAAGTTTCCCGAGACGCTTTCCGCTGAGAGGAAGCAACTGATCAAACAAGCTCTGGCCTTTAAATATTGATCACATTTTAATACATGTCTTGCTATCCTATGACTAATGATTACTGCGGTTACATTTCTGTCATGAGAGAGAGCGGTACCAACACAATTTGTATATCTTTACTTCGAGTTGAAATATCCACAAGGGGGACAGAAGGTAAAAAAACACTGTGTTACAGCATCAGCCTTCTGACAGACAACAATGGTTAAGGTGTAGTTGTGTAGTTGTGATTTGCTGTCATCATGGCCCGTTTCAGCTGCTCATATGTTACAAACATCACCACATTCCAGGAGCCCAGGCGTAAGAAAGATGGCATGAACCTCAAGAGAAAAAACATAAAAAACATGTTTGATTGCAATTCAGTCATGTACAGCCATTCACATTACTCTCCTCCCCCGGGTCTATAAATGTTTGATTTGTATCGTTATCAATCCATTCAAAATTGCCTGTGCAGTCAATGCTTACCCCTTATAAAAGGCAAGGGGGCCCTCTTTGGTCATCATGGCAGAGGCACAATTGAGGACACTGCTGTATTTGCCAAGAGCAGCGTTCATATATCTTGTCTTGACCACATCAACTGGAGAGGCAATCACTGTTGTGCATAACCCGGCACCAAAGGCTGATACAAAGTGGCAGGGCAGATTATCTGTGGAGTTAAAGCTGAAAGTTACTGATCCAAAGGAGAAAAACACCTACATTGTGCCTCTGAATGTCATGTAACATTGCAGCCATGTTTTTACCTGTCAGGGGAGTGGACTTCACAAGTGTATCCTTGATGAAATCATATGTCACCAGTTCTGTGCAGTTAACAATTGCATTTCGCGCAATGTTCGGAGCTGTACCTGCATGACAGAGTAAAGTAAAAGTAAAAAAAAAAAAAACAATCATAAGAAATCAAAGGGTATTTTTTGCTACTAAATAATCCTCTCAAGCTACCTTTCCACAGACCACGAATGCCTTCTTCCTTAGCAATGGACTTGTAAGCATCAACGGTGCTACAGTATCGTCTGGCATGCCCATGACACCTGATCTGTGCCTGGAAGCGGACTTTCACCACATCTGTAGGCTGAGCAAACGCAACCGCCATGGCACCAGTGGTACTTCCTGCAAGCAGCCGACTGCCAATACCAACATCTGACCCAGAGAGGAGGAAGATGTCAGGCCTGATTGGTGCAGGACTCCCTGAACTAGATAAATAATTATAATGCATTCATAGATACTCACGATCAGAGCCTTTAGTGTAGAACTGTTTTACAGAGTCATACAGACCAATGCGGACAGAGGCAAAGCTCATCTGTCTCTGTAGTCCTGCCACCAGTCCATTGTAAAGGCTCCTGGGCCCCTCTGTACGCACCATGGTGGTGATGGTGCCAAACACTCCACGATACTTCACTGCAGGCTCTCTCCCTGTAGTTGCTGAAGCTCTGGCCTCTCCTTGGATCTGTCCAGGACAAAAGGCAAAGATAGGTGAAGATAAGAAAGCATGGGGGACTTCAGGTTCTTCTGGTTTATATGCACTTAGTAACGTATAAAATAATGGACACTATATATTCTTTAAGTTTATCAATAACTATACTTTACATACAGTGGGTGCCCATGCAATGTCATAATATGATGTGATGATGGGAGGTTAACTTTAATATTTACATAGCACATGTTTACCTGCAGCCGCACTTTGGCTGTGTCCAGGGGAAAGGTGAGCAGGTCAGCGATACAGGCTGCAGTTCCTGCTCCTATAAACTTCACAGCTGCTGATGGAGGCACGTCTGCGGGTCCAAATCCAACCATTTTCCAGAATTATTTTGATCAATGTAAGTATTGATGGGTGCCTAGTTAATGTGGACAGGACACAAAGCTCCTCGAAAATCTGAAAAAGATAGACCCCAAAACACATTCCATCTAAAAATTCATGTATTTTATGTAGAATTGCTTCCAGCTGATGGGTGGCTCATTTAACATCCCCATTGAGCAACAGAGACGTAGTAAAGTCGAGGCTTTAGTGATGCTAAATAGATGGCAGCTGTTCAGTGCATTATTTGCACACAAAGACAGGGCTCACAACAGCTAAAATGCCCTGCAAATTCAAATAACACATTTCTCATCACTTTTTTAAGTCTGAAAGATGATTAATTCTTACCTTTAATGGTGCAGTTTAGGACAGAAAGATCAGATATCAAGATTCTCTAAAGGTATCCCTCTGGCTGAATTTTGTCCCAGCTATAAATTGATTTCCTTGTTTTTCCATAGAAGACTTTTCAGAAGTGATGAGCCTTAAAATCATACTCCAAATCCTGGAAAAACAGAGATATGGTCAAAAACAAAAGCAGTGGAACAGTGTTTACAATAATATAAATATACCAAGGGTTCATTGTACCGTGATTTGATTTTCTGAGTTAAAATGCCTGGTAAAAAGCCTCTCCAGGTAACAATACCCTAATGAATCAGTGAATGGTCAGGATGCAGTAGTGTGGGAAAGAGAGCCACCTCCTTAAATACTGCCATGACATTGCATCATGGGATGTGTTGCTGGTGGGGCCCCACCCCCACTACATCCATACGGGCTGCCTGCTGGTTAAATGGAAAGACTAGAAACCTGTTTATGTCACAAACAGCCTGTATGTGTCTAATTTGTGTAAACACACTTTTTGGAACATGTTTTCTCTCTTGTCTTCTTCACTTCATGATCAAGCTTCCTCTCAAGTGTGTCTTCAGACCAACAACCACATCACAACTAACACTTAAACCCACAGTTGTGATTGATTAGACTGGCTCAATAGATTGAGACTGAAAATAAAAATGTTGCATTGCAATCTGCTAAAACCCGTTATCTGTTAGAAAGTCTGTACATAACGTTATAGTGCAGAGAGCACAGACTTCAGGAGTAAATGCTGAGTCATGCTGAGAATACAAGAACACATAGTACATTGCCCACCAAATTAGATCCGTATGTTCAGCCCCTTTACAATGTGAAGAAACTCAGCATTGTGTTTAGTTAATAAAGTGGTTTTATTGTAGTATTGTAGTTAAAGGATGGTGAAGTGGTAGAACAGGTAGACTAGATGGATTTTATTGTCCCCAAAGAAGCCATGGGGTATCAAGGGTGTATAATTTAGTGACATATTCCTACCAACATCCAGCGACTACTGAATTGTCCCTAGAAATTATTTTGATCAAAACAAGTAAATATAAAGACTGTTGTCCATCAGCGTCTAGTCAATGTATTCGATATACAAACTGTTAGCAGGTCTTGTTCTCTCCAATTTGTTTTTGTATTTTCACAGATTATGTCGTCCCCTGCTTTCAGGACCCCATTTAGTAAAATGTTCAGGTGAGTGAATGTTTGTGAGTCGATTCTTTCGCTTGTGAACACCAACACAGACAACACAGATTGAGTCTGGTAACTTCCATAGATATGTTCTGAACATACCTACCATGATCATTAAATTATACGATGTGAAGTAAAACCTGTTTAATTACATACAGAATACTGCCCCACTGAAATCCCAAGATGCTCCACTTTCTGTAAACAGCTTCCGTTTTATCAAGCAACTAAATTATTGCTCCCCTTCAGTCAGATTATGATCCCTTTTTCCTATTTAATAATACTATTTAAACTGTATTGCAGAGTTGGTTGGTGTAACCCAACTAACAAAGGTGCAGCAAATTTCATAATAGATAAAGAATATAAATAAACAATCATTTATTGATTTTGGCATTGTCACTGTGCACAACATTTTGATGACTTATTGACCAGCAATAAATCATCCTATTTACAATAAGCAGCACATTGATTTAACCTATAAACCCCTGACAACATGCACAAACACTTGTAAACAATCCACAATACAGAAAGCAACATAGAAATGGTCAGTGTTTAGGTCTGTGTTGCCAGACTCCATTGCGTTTGTGGAAAACCTATCCTAAATAACAAATAAAATTAGGTCATAACATTATTCACAGCATCTCACCGTTCATTCTTGTAAACATGAAAATCTATCTTCAAAGACACATATCAAGGTTCTAGTATATTTGTCAACAAGAGATAAAAACATGAATAAGCATTTTAGTGACAGAGGCCATTAAAATGCATAAAATGTTTCTTTATATTTGAATGCTTAAATCATTCTGGTATTGCAACAAATCCCTCAGAGTCACGGTTCATTTAAGAAGTCCAAGAGCTACAGTTCGCTGACATGAGTCTTTATGATGTGAGCTCTTACAATGCATGTTGGTAATGCGTCCGACCATTTGAGCTCTCTTCTTATACAGCCCAGGTCCTTTTCCAACTATCAGTCACTGTGAGGATTAGGCAGTTTTGCGTGTGCAGTCCTGTCTGAAGAAACAGCCTGACAAGCGATGAGCTCAAAATGGCGACTCCCAGTACTGTTGTGCCCTGGTCATGCCTCTTTTAATTTGTTCATATGTCACAAACATCACGATGTTCCAGGATCCCAGACGCAGGAAAGAAGGCATGAATCTAAAGGAGACGACGAAGAAAATAAAAATAAACAAGTGTCCCAAACATGTTACGTTATTGCTGTTTGGTTCACTCTTATGTAAGTGTGTTTACCCTTTATAGAAGGCTGTGGGTCCTTCTTGTCTCAGCATGGTGAGAGTACAGTTGATAGCGCTGCTGTACTGGCCAGTCCCTGAATTCATGAACCTTGTTTTGACAACATCCACAGGAGAAGCCACTACTGTTGTGCAGAAGCCTGCACCAAAGGCAGCAGTGAAGTGGCACGGCAGGTTGTCTGTAGGAGAACAGAAGCAAAGTCACACACTTCCATAATATTTGATATTTTGTATTTAGAATTTGCATGTAGAAGAAGTCACTTAGTCACTAGTTATTTGCTTTTTTTACCACCTCACCTGTCATTAGGTTATACTTAAGGATGAGTTCTTTGATCATGTCATAGGTCACCAGCTCTGCACAGTTTACAATAGCATTACGGGTGATGTTGGGCATACAACCTAGACAAAAGGACAGGATGGTTACTTCAAAGCCAGGGGTTTATCATGAAAAGATATATATACATTTTTTTAAAAACAGGAGCAAAAATGACAAGCACCTTTCCAAAGCCCCCGCATTCCCTCATCTCGGGCAATCGTCTTGTAGGCGTCCAGGGTGCTGTTATATCTCCTCCCACCATCAGCCAGTCGTACCTGGGCTTGGAAACGCACCTTCACCACATCTGTTGGTTGTGCAAAAGCCACAGCCATGGCTCCTGTGGTACAGCCTGCCATGAGCCGAGTAACAATCCCAGCACCTGTGCAGCATGTGCACATTAGTCACAATTGGACAGAAGCAACCGTGTTCGTAAAACAAGATGCTGAATTTGTGAAACTCACTCTCTGTGCCTCGAGTGTAGAATTGCTTCATGGAGTCATAAAGACCGATTCGGACAGAGGCGAAGCTCATCTGCCTCTGGAGTCCTGCTACTAGTCCATTGTAAAGACTCCTAGGCCCCTCTGTGCGCACCATAGTGGTGATGGTGCCAAACACTCCCCGATACTTTATGGCTCTGGCCTCTTCATGTTTCAGAGACTCTCCCTGAATCTGAGCAACAGGATGACATACAAGGATTGTAAGCAGCAGCTTAAGAAAAGTTTTGAAAAGAGATATTTAGAACAGAAGAGATCGCTCTTAAACATTGTCTCTAACCTGTAGTCTGACTTTGGCTGTATCCAATGGAAAGGTGAGCAGGTCAGCAATGCAGGCTGCGGTTCCTGCTCCAAAGAACTTTACTGCCGCAGAGGGCACCAAGTCGTTGGGTTTCATGCCGACCATTTCTACGCCTGAGTTAATGACAGAAATGGAAAAAACTGTTCTCAGTGCTATCTGCCCAGGACCTCTGTTTATCACACCACAAACAAGCCCATAAAAATCATTACTCAGCTCAGCTCAGCAGACACACAGAATATAACTGTTCACATTTTGATGACATTTAATAATTTTCATTTGCTCTGATTATACTAGTAATACTGAGTGTACTAACATTTGAAGTGTTCATGCTAAACATTGTTTATATACCTGTAAGCGAGGGTAAAAAAAATAAAGCTTCAAGTTTTCTCAGGAAGTACACTGGTCTGAAGTGGAAGTGGTTCTGTTGTGGAAAAGCCTTGGGCCATAAACTCTGTCTGAAGGGAGCCAGCCAGCATACCACCTCTCACTGAGAAAACAAGCAAACCATTTACTTGAGATCCAAGGAGAATTTGTATTATTGGTTTCATGCATTTAATTAATAGTTTTATCATTATGATAACAGTGATATATTGTGCTTTAGCTCAGATCATGCAATGTTGTCTTCATGTGAAAGTTTACCTAAATTGTTTTCCAGGAAAGTTATAGTCCAGCACAGAAGAAATAATGTACAATCCTTTAGGCAGTAAGTCCCTTTAGCATCCTCCTCTCACACTGTGTGCTTTCTACTGAAGAAGCTCCTGAATTTATAGGCACCTTTAGCATGTGACAGTGATGCAGCAAGTTGTACACACCTGCTATTTGTATCTCATGTTTACCAGAGTCCCTGAGACACAGTTGGACATTCGAGTACTTGTTGATCTGCTCCTAACAGTGTTATTATGGTAGCCTGGTGCGGACTCTATGAGCATTTGTAGTGATACTGAATATTTTCATGTTTTTTCACAGCTAATTTCACAGTGAAACGTACTTCTGAAATATAATAGACTATATAGTAGACTATATTTATTTCTAGTTTTAAATCCAGAGCTAGGCGTTTACTTAAAATTTCAACTTTAACACGTGGGAATACCAGCTCATATTACTACACTGACATCGAGGAGCATTCCTCATGTTTCTATTGGTTGCTATATGTAGCCAATCAGACAGAGAGGCCTGTCTCAATTCCATAAATGTTTTCATGGGGCATTTGCATGTCTAGCCAGAGTTCTATGGTGGATAACATTTACACTGCATACTTATCCATCATCCCTCCTCCCTGCAAGTAATAAAGTTGAAAAATGTTCCAGGCAAAGGAACGGCCATGCTTCTCAGCCAATCCATACAATGAACGAGGAGGGGTGGATGCACATAGCATGTGTATGCAATTTGCATGCACCCAAAGAAAGGACTGGATGCTGGATGGAAAGTGTTAGAGAGGGGAGACACTTTGTTGGTAGAGTGTTGGAGTCCTGTGCCCGCGTGCCTTTACACATGTGACTTTCAATATAAGCTCCAGGCTATGGCCCCTGCAAGCTTATGTCAAGTCATGGTTTACTATGCAAAACTGTCGCTACATATCTAATGTTTCGCCTGATATCTAGTGTAAGAAGCTCAGCAGTCTCTACTTTAATAATGTATAGATATTATTCAGTACAGTTAAAAATCATGTTTCCCCTTAAGTCAAAGTAAACCCCTTGGGCTGTTTTTGTAAACAAAGCTGAAGAAAGGCCCTGCCTCTGCAAATGACCTTTGACACATTTTCCACTATTTACATTATTTCCAACTATTAAAGGGACCATAAACGTCGAAGGTGACTGAGGACCTCATGTGGGCTGATGAAGGGCATTTATAGGCATAGTGTGCACATTCTGTCTTTTTATATTTACTAATTTACTTTTTTAAGTAGTTTCTCTTTCAGTAATTATAATTGTTGAGCTTTATTGTTATTATTATTGATAGTAGTAGTAGTAGTTGTAGGCCTATTGATTAAAGTATGTTATTTTTTAAATCAACCGTACAACAGAAATTACATTTTGATACTTTGGTGATATACAAAGAAAATGTAATTGCACTGTGTCCACAGTGCACATGTGTTTGGACAAAGAGATTAAAGGCAATAATCCATTTCAAAAGTAATTCAGCTGGATTTTAAAGGTTAGATTCAGGCATTTTCTTTTTTTTCTTTTCCTTATTTCATCTAATTAGCAAAGCAAAGATGGGCAATGGTTAAACCTTAAACTTAATGCCATAAAGAACAGCTCAGAAGACCACCTGCTTTCTTTCCCTGGTGCTAAAAACAGGTCCCTGAGAAGAGAACACTGTGTGAATAACCTTTGAACAGAGTCAGACCAGTAAACACCTTGCTGGTCCGGCTTCAACCAGACTGTAGTGACCTACCCTACAGACTATGAAATTGAAACTGAGCAGGCAGACTGCCGTCACCACTGAGCTCTCCCGCACTTTGAATACCATGAACCTTAAATCAGTGCTGTGAAACAGCTAATCTCCATTACACTATAAATAAAGTCAGCCGCTGCTACGTCACTTAAAGGTTAGTGGAGCACACAAGTATGGGCCACCATGTCTTCATTCATAGATCCATTTACATGTAAATGTCTGTCTTAACTTTATTTTTATTCATTCTTAGGTAAGTGATGGAAGGAAACAACACTGTAGTGGCTCTGAGGGTCAAAACACAACATTTCACAAAACAATACTTCTGAAAACACAAAGACATTTAAAGATAACAATGTTTATTCAGGCTATGTGTTAAGGTGGTTTGGTGGTAGATTGGATCACCTAGAGGGACTCTTAAACTCTTAGCAGCTTTTTCGCTATCAGGGAACAGATGACAATCTCGACATGGGTTAAAGTTAACAATAATGGTCAGCTAAACTATTTTAAAAGTCTTCATGCAGCAAAAACTGTAAGACCAAAACACTGCACATAAATTGACACTCATTGACCTCAAGGTAGCGCTGTAACAATCAAGATTGCGTTTTCGCACAACGGCTTGGCCATTTTTTTCCCAAGTTTCTCAAAATCCTATTTTTGACATCTTGTCCAAAACAGCTGGGCCAAAACTTAGTCAGGATCATCTGAAAACTTTACTGATCTTGAGTTGTTAAAGTTATTTTGATATGTCAATCTCTTTCAATTATGCAAGCCAATCATTTTTTTAAAATAGTAACAAATGTAGTCACGTGAAACATGTGTTTGCTGAAGGTCATAAGCTACAGTAAGTCAAATGTTTCTGAAAGTAAATTTATATACCTCAATAGAGCATCAGCAAATGGGGATGACAACTAAATAAATGCATCCAAATGGATCTGCTTGAACTCTACCAATCATTTCCGCTTTCATCTATAGGCCTACTCTTTATGAGATCTTTCCCCTCTCATCCAAAGGGCTTCTTCATTTCTGATTGACTGGTAGGGAATCCCAGCCATTTAACCTCTGTAGGTTTGTTATCAATGTGAAGGATACAATTTGGTTCATTAGTGCTCCTCGCTGTCGTAACGAAAGGCGTTATGATCGTTGGAGTCATGTGAAGCTAAGACTGAAAGACCGTCGTTGGCATTGTCACATGAGGCCATATGTGAGGGTTCAATCTCCTGGGAAGAGATAAAAAGACAGCATTCAAAGTGGGGGATAAGAGGCGTAGCCTCCTTCTGTTGTGATGGTCTTTCTATTCTGGTGTAAATGGCCTCTTTCATGCCTCTTTCGAAATATTCATTGCAGCATTGGACAGCATGTTTTTCTTGTGTTTGGTGTGCGGTCTTTAGGATGGACCAGTATCTGTCTTTTCTGTTCTTGGGTTTAAAAACACAGGGATGTGGTGTTTGTTGAAAATCCTCCAGAGTTTCTCTGATACTGCAGCGATACTCCAGACACATATGGAATCACAGTGTTGTGGCATTTTCTTTTCCTTATCACCTGTATTATAGGTGTTCTACCTGGATCTTGTAGCTGTTTTCACAAAAGTCCAGTTTGGGGATCCATAAGCCATAAATGCCTCCTAAACTGGCTGATATCTCGTGTGAACTTGATGTTACTGAGTTGATGTGTTCTGTGGAGGCTTGCACTTCATGGGTTTTAATTCTGACCCATGTGTCATCCACATATATCTACCAATAATGGCTCTGTGCTGTTCCTCTGAAAGAGTTCACGGCTCATCTTTCTACTTCTTCCATACAGATGTTGGCCATAACAGGGGATACTGGTGAGCCAATGGCACAACCATACTTCTGTCTGTAGAATTCCCATCAAACTGCTTCCAGACTAACAATCAAGATGGTAGGAATCAGAGTCTGATACACATCCACTCTGTCAGAGTAGGATTTTTATAGGCTAAGGCTACAGTTGGTTGAGGACATAAATGTGCCCATAACATTAGGGTGCATCAAGAAATATGCAGCCTGTTGTTAAACACACAAAAGTCAGTGAATATAATACCAAAATATATAATAAAACTTACATCTACACCATTATAAACGATCGTAAAAAGCATTTGCCTGAAAGAAGGACAATATTGGGATAACTTCATATGAATAGAAATTAATTAATTAATTAAAAAGATACGTCACCAAAATTTCATACAGGCGTCCCTCTCTAACTTCAAAAAGCTATTGAAAACTCATCTCTTCCGAGAACACTTTCTCTTATAACATCTCTGACCCCTAACCTCTAACCATTGATAGATGTATATAAGAAGCTACACTTGCACTTCCTGTGCTCTTCTTTGTATATCCCCTTACAATTCTCTTGTATTGATTGCACTTTTTTGTTAACTCTTACTTCTTTCCTTAGGTATTTACCCCATTGATGCCATACGTGCTATTACTAGTAGCTCTTACAAGTATTTATTGCTGCCATTACTAGTATGTATTGTCAGTTGTAGATCTGCTGCTGTATTAATGCTCTGTTGATGCTTGTATGTTGTTCGTCACGGCAAGTCGCTTTTGGAAAAAAGTAAATGCAAATGTAGAACTCAGGGAACAAATATCAAATATATAATTGGGTCTGACTGATAACCACCATGGTGAAAGACAAAGTGTCTTCAAGCATGTTCCATAAAATGTTCAGAGATCACACATGGTGTGCCTTCTGAATGTGGTCCATGAGGTACAGGCCACATGTTCCACATACAAATGCCTTGTGCACTCTGTTGGCTACAGCTGGAACGCCCATCTGCTCAGACGGTTCGATAGAAAAGACTCTGTAACGAATGGGTGGATTTGAGCTAATATATTTTCATAAGAATCTATTTGTTTCTAAAGTATAGCTTCGTAACAACATCAGAATTTATTGTTAAATTAAGAGGACATTTAAGGCTTAAAGAAGGGATGGTTTTGCTAGAATACCATTATCCAACACACTTCAAGTCATGTAACATGACAGCTTCCCTATTTTCTATTGTTTAACTATTGTATTTGAGAAACTATGTTTAGTCACCTTCACCTCTTCCTGTCCTCTCTTGTGCCTCTTACAATCAAATTAGTGAGTCTGCAACTGTAGACGATCAGCTGTCATACTCTTTATGTAAGTGCATTTTTCTAGTCTCTCAAATGTCTCCCATTGTCTCAGATTACAGGACTGAAAGTGATCACAACCACACTGTATCGCCTGCAGATTTCTCTCATAATAATCAGTCACTATAAATATTTATATTATTGGATATTTCTCAAGAGATCACCAGCAGCAAACACACTTTTCTAATCTTTATAATTATATTTATTTTGTCCACATATTAAGGAGCTGTTTCAAGGTTTCGTGCAACACATTCTCACTCCCAACTCGTCACATATGGACACTTGGTCAAGACTCCTTGGTGTCGCCTTGGTGTTCTTCAATGGTTCAGAGTACATAATGAATAAACAGAACTTCATGTGTGAAAAAGGTGGACTGTCCCTTTTTAAGTGGATTCTCTTAGTGATATGAGTAAAGAGTGCACTGCTGCCACCTTGTGTTCAAGAATATTGTAAGCTAGAGCAGTGGTTCTCAAATTTTTTCACACCCCTAGACCGACACAAATTAGACCACAGACCCCCATTTGATAAGATTTTGTCCCAGGGTACCCCATCTGATGGGATTTTTGCTTCTGGATGTTTTATTACAGAAACTGTATGAAACCTTTTGACCAAAATGATGAATTATCATTTTAGAATTAACAATGTGTGTGACCTGTGAAAAGCTTGAATTTAAGAAGACAGGGCACCTAGCCATCATGTAGGCCTAAATAATTAAAATCATTAATCAGACATAATCATGTAGAAAATTCCCATACTCCAGATTTAAACTCCAAAATGACATGTCCTGATATGGTTTTGAAACTGCCATGACAGAAAATGAATCACTGTTGAAACTAGTGTAAAGAAAATGTTACCATGTATCTGTAGCGATCTGTAGTCAGTGGGCGGCAGTAAGTCTCTAAAAGGCCCATGCTATAACCTACAAGAAAACAAGACCAAAGAAGAAGAGACCGACCTAAAAATAATCACAGCTGCAGCAGCAGAAGAAGAAGAGCGAGCGCTAGCTAACGTTAGCTGAAATTTACCCAATGTCTGGATAGCTTCTGTGCAGGTGTCGAAGAAAATCATATGCTGGGAAAGAGAGGAGAGGTCACATACAACAGTTCCCGAGAAAGACTGTCCCCTCTTTGGACACCATGGAGAAACAGTTGCATTTAAACCTGTTATCCTCCAGACCTCCCATGGCTGGTGGTTATCAATCCGGTGGCTCCAAAATGAAAATGGGGTGAGTTAATTAGCTAACGTTAGCATCTTCATAGCATGCTGTCAGCTCTGCCGGATGCCTAACATTTTATAATATAGTCCATCATCACATAGGTTGCTGTCTGTTCTTTCTGACTCGTATCTTTACAATTTGTTAAATGAAAGGACAGCTGAAGTGATCGTGGCAGCGAGTTATGCTAACTTAGCTGTTGCTACCGGAGTTAGCGGATGTATGTGTAACGTTATGTATGTACAAGTTTGATCTTGCTTTAAATAACCTCAATATTATAATACATACTCCGTTTTATCTGACAGTAACGTTATCCATTGAGCAACACTGGTCCAGATTTGTCTGGGTAAGAGTGAGTATTCATGGCACAGCAAAACCACTGTCTGGAGATATTAATCTTAAAATCAGATTGAGTTGTCTCCAAAGATAAGTTTGATTTTATAGTGAACAGGTTCACCTTGACTTTCCGTTTACACAGCCTGTACAGTGAGGTCGTGATTCGTTTCTGACTTGCATGTTTACATAATCACGGTATAACGGTTGAACAAACAACTTTATGTTTTTGGTAGAGATGTACGCATGCCAGTGTGTTTATTTTGGGGTTGAATGAAACAATAGCGAGCTCTCTTCAACCCTTAAAAAGTCCTCAATCTCTGGTTTCTGGTCAGTTAAATAGCCAGCAGCCTGTGCATTAGAAAAACTCAGCTTGTATGTGTACAGACGTGTGTCGACTGTTTTTAGTTTTATATAAAGCCATCATGATTTAAACTGTGAAGTTGTGGTATGCGGATTGATCTTGTTGAAAAAAAGAGATTTTCAGAATTTATTGCTTGCATTACACTTGAATATCCCTGTTTTGTCATAATCTTTAACTCATATGGGCAGTTTTTCTACTTCAGTGTTGCAGTATTTGGCCTCCCCACAGAAACGCATCCCATTGCATGATAAGTTTTAATAATCTTGCTGCATTATGGGACTGGTTTACATTTTGCTTGTCCTTTTTTGTTGTTGTTTTTTTTTTTTATACACAGACCTGGACGGAAGAGAGATTTCTCCCCGCTGCCCTGGAGTCAATACTTTGAGACGATGGAAGATGTTGAGGTGGAAAATGAAAATGGAAAAGATATATCCTTGACTGCTGCTTCTGTTTGTCAGGACAAAATTCAGCATGAATTATTGAAACTTTGTTGTGGCAATCACCCAGTGTGTTGAAATTCAACTAGGTCATTTCAGATTTAGCTACTTCTTTGTGCCAATGTACTATCTAACTTCACTGTGGTATGGTTTCGTTTGAAAATTGTTCATACAAGTTATGTTTATTCTCTTTTGAGCAGCATCGGCTTACTTTGTAACTCTTGCACAACTCTGGTATGTATTTCCTTGACTACCCTGAACATTTTCAGAATTTACTGCAGTGGTTCCCATGGTCCTGTGCTGCTCCTGCTCCATGGAGGAGGTCACTCTGCTCTCTCATGGGCAGTGTTCACTGTGAGCACAATAACTTTTACAAAAAGCTCTGTAATCTCTTAACTCTAAGTCTTAGTGTTTAATATTTATGAATATAGTCTCTTTATTTCCACAAATTTCCTGTACACTATTTGATTTAAATGGTTTCCGTGTGTCTTTACAGGGCGTTATATACAGCAGGATCAACTGCAGGGTGGTGGCTATGGACCTTCGATCTCACGGTAAATGTAGTTAGTCACAGGACATAAAACTAGACATATTTTATTTATTATTGAGATGTCAGTTTGGTTAGGTAATAGTATCAGCCCCTTTTTGAATAATGCTTTGCTAAAATATATGCACATATTGACCCATCCTATGATTCTGTGTCATCCAAGGAATAAATTTACTACAGTGTAGTCAAAATGGGAAATGTATGATAGCTGTTGATTGAAAGTATGTTGATCACTGCTTCCAAATACTTTCTTCTTATCATTTGCTTTCTGTAATAATACAATATATATCCTTAACATTCATTCTGTTTTTTAAGAAGATTCTATTTTTTCTTAATACTGCAATTATATACAGTAGGAGTATGAAATGAAACAGCTGTCACTAAATATTAAAACTTTTAATTTATTTTACTCTTCAAATTGCAGCTCCAGTACCCCAAATTATAAAGAAGTGAAATCGCTGTACCAAAGTAGTTTTATCACATCCCTACCCGCCTGTGACTAAAAGCCAAATCACCACACGTTGTATGACCAGGAGACAACTCCCACTACATAATTTGGCATTTCATTCTCTGTATGTTCACGACTTGGATGGAACAAAGTGTGAAATTTGCTTCTCTCTTATCACCTGCAGGCGACACCAAAGTGAAAAATCCTGATGATCTTTCTGCAGACACGATGGCCAAGTAAGTGTGCGCAGTTAAGACAGACGCTGGATTTTGTGAGAACAATATACTTTACACAGTTCAGCCTTGTATCACAGAAAAATTAGGGAAACTGCAGACTTGTAGGACAGTAAATAGTTAAAGGAGTATTGAGTGAGGCACACAGTCAGCTTTGATTTCTACAGCTACCCTTTGCTTGCTTGATGCTTTGGTGCATCCCTAAATGAAGTTGCTTCTACAGCTCAAATCAGTAGGGAGAAAGTGGTCTGGGAGTTTGGTGGATTCTTTTGGCTGTTGACATTTGGATTAATGACCCAATTCATTGTTAAATACACTCTGTCTTGAGGTTTCTGTTGAGACATTGTCCTTGCCTTTTCTGTCAAAAGGGATATTGGCAAAGTGGTGGAGGTGCTCTATGGAGAGAATCCTCCTCCAATCATGATTATTGGACACAGCATGGGTGGGGCCATTGCAGTTCACACAGCCACTGCCAATCATGTACCATCCCTGCTTGGCCTCTGTGTCATTGATGTTGTAGAAGGTGAGTGCTTGTGTTTTCTCAAATAGGATCATCTTAGATATTTTAAAATTTTCAGTGAATTTATATAATAAATATTCTTAATGTAATCAAATTAATGATGAGCTCAGCGTAGTATTACTGGGTTTATTAATGAAGAATACCTTTTGGTAATCACATTCAGGTACAGCAATGGATGCTTTGAACAGTATGCAGAATTTCCTCAGAAGTCGCCCAAAGACGTTTAAATCTCTGGAAAACGCCATTGAGTGGAGGTAAACATAAAATATTAGTGTTACTGCTACATCTTGGAAGTATGATGTATTTCATGTATAAACACTGCCTATGCACAAAAAGGTTACGTACCCTGGTTTTCACACACACGTGGGATATGTAAAAAGGAACGTGACGTGAGAATGTACGGACCGTGGCGCAAACTTTTGTCTGGCTATTTCAGTAAACTTCAAAGTGCCAAAACTCACCAAATGTTTCAAAATAGCGTTTCTACTCCTGTTACTGTCGATGAGGTAGTCAATCAAAAACGTAACTATGTCTGTTAATACACAATAAAAGGGACGGAGCCACGGACACTTACGGTCAGTTGTGAACCGCCAGCCTAAAGCCAGGATAATGTCAGGTGGCAGGATTTTGGCAAGGTGTGAAGCCTACTCTGTATGATTGCTGTAAACCTATAAAAACTGTGTGATACTCGTGCATAATGCTGCATGGCTGCGCAATGGCAGTGCAGAGGAAAACGCGAGTGTAAGGATTAGAGAGTGTCCATGAAGATTTCCTGGCCCATGATGATGACGACTGGCTAATACTTCAATTTAGATTCTTTAAAATCGTGCTCTTGGGTCTGTGCGCTGAACTGGGTCCAGCATTTGACAGACCAACCTGGCGGAACCGTGTAAGTAGGCTATACCCACTGTTTCTGGCAGTCGGCTGTTAGCAGTGGGAGCCAACAGGTGTGTGTGTGATGGGATCAACAATATATAGTGTTTAACTTTCTACCATCAAATAGCATTAAAGAATTGAGCATCAGTATTTTTCGGTCAGTATTCTTTATTTCAGCCAGTATTACTCTCTGAGCCGGCTGCACTGACTGCCAATGTAACACCAACACCATTCCGTCATTTTGCATTTGTTGCTGATCAAAGAGTTCAAACCATCAAATTAATATTTCTCCTTTCCTCCACTTCAGGGATCAGCACCTCGATCTCACAATCAGTGTAGTTTCTCTTTTTCAGGTGTTTTACAGCAGGATCGGCTGTTATTTGTACCTTAGGAGGTGACGCTGGTGTATTTATGGTCATTGGCATAGTAATTTATGGGAGGAGCCAAGGCGGGGTATGTGGCTCGTGCATGTGCGCGCAGTTTCACGTTGACTGGGATGTATAAAAGAAAAGTACGCAGGACCTGACGTACGCCTGGTTTTATACATGTGGATATTTCTGTGCGTACGTACTTTTCAAATTCTGTGAGTACGCCATCTTTCAGTATGAAAGCTGCGCAGTCTTTTATACACGAGGCCCCAGGACTCTACCCAGAGCTGGCTGCCCAGCCAAACTGAGCGATCTGGGGGAGAAGGGTCTTAGTCAGGGTGGTGACCAAGAACACAATGGTCACTCTGACAGAGCTCCAGCGTGTCTCTGTGGAGAGAGGAAGCCACTCCTCAGTAGAAGACACAAAGATTGAACTCTTTGGCCTGAATGGCAAGCATCATGTGTGGAGGAAACCAGGCACCGCTCATCACCTGGTAAATACCATCCCTACATCCCTGGTGGTGATCATGCTGTAGGGATGTTTTTCAGCAGCAGGAACTGGAAGAGTTTTCAGGATGGAGGGAAAGATGAATCCAGCATTTTGGAACGCGGCTGTAACGTAACAAAATGTGGGAAAAGTGAAGCACTGTGAATACTTCCTGGATGCACTGTATAAGGATGCAGTTTTAATGGCCTCCAAGTTTGTGTTTTCAAACTTAAATGGCATTTAACAATAATGTTTGTACACGACTGTCGTAAGCTTTTGTTTTGCTTTCAGTGTGAAGAGCGGCCAGATCCGAAACGTAGAGTCGGCACGAGTGTCAATGGGAGGCCAGGTGAAGAAGTATGTCTCCTCTGTTTTATATCTGTACATTGAGTCCTGTGTGGTTTTGCACTGTATGTTAAGTTGCTCTGACATTCACAGATGTGAGGAATCCACAAGCAGTCCAGGTGTGCCTCATAGCATTGGTGAAGGTATAATAGAAGAGGATGAAGAAGTGGAAGAAGAATCCAACAAGAAAAGGATGAAGGAAGACGATCAAGAGGTCCTGTCTTTTTTACACTGTTGTCTTTTTGTAACATGTATGTGTTTTGTGAGAGGTGGAAAAGTACCTAAAAAAAATTTCTTTCATACAGGTAAAAAAGGAAAGCATCTTCACCTGGCGAGTGGACCTGTCAAAGACAGAAAAATACTGGGAGGGCTGGTTCAGAGGCCTGTCTGCCCTTTTTCTCACCTGCTCTGTGCCAAAACTGCTTCTGCTCGCAGGTTAGAGCTCACAGTTTCTCACAGTGAACTTATTTTTTATTATTACTTTTTTCAAATATGTATCTGGACAGGCAGTTTTGATGGAATTTCTGGGCAGTCCGACTTGTTTGGATGAATACAAATGATGCAGGGTTTTTCCCAAGCTGTTTTGCCATTAACTGCACAATTTCACCCGTGACTTAATCCATTGTACAGGAGTGGACAGGCTTGACAAAGATCTTACTATTGGACAGATGCAAGGTAAGGAGCACAAATTGAGATTTTATGTTGCCATTTACTGTAAAAGACACAGACCCTAAACATCCATAACCTTTGTCCACAGGGAAATTTCAGATGCAGGTTCTCCCTCAGTGTGGTCATGCTGTCCATGAGGACGCACCTGAAAAGGTAAGTGGTGGTACCTGAACGTACACTGTGGGCTGTATGTATTGTGCTATGACATCATCCCGATTACCATATGATACTTGTTGAAATGCTAAAGCAAGAGGAGCTATTTTTTATTTACTTTGTCCTGTGTTATCTGTTGCTAGGTAGCAGATGCTTTAGCAACATTTATGGTCCGGCACAAATTCACTGAGTTTAAGGAAGGATTCCTGTGGTAAGTGAACCTAAGTTTGTCTAAATCATACAGGATTTCCAAGTAGCTTATTAATTATACGTATCATCATAATAGTTTTTACGTATAATTATTAGTTGAACAAAGAGATAATTCATTGTCCATTCAAAGGACATTACAATTAAATTATACCACCTTTTTTGTTTAAGAAAAAAAACTAAGGCAATAATTTGTCAGTCTGATTTTGTGAAATAATTGCTTAATGATCTTTCCACAGCTAATTTCCAGTTTTCAGATAGCAGCCATAGAACAAATGTTTCAAGATTCATCCACATCCTCGTACAATTTAACAGCAAATTAAAGAAAATATAACACATTATTATTATTATTATTATGATGCTTTTGTTATGTAGATACTTTGCCTTCCAGTTTTGCCTTATTTTTATTTAAGCACTTGCATTTGATCGTATTTTTCCTTTTACTTTCTTTTTTTTTTTTTTTTTTTTTTTTTTTTGTAATTTTTGAAATGTAAAGCTCTCTTGGTTTAATGTTTTAATTTGAGTGATTGCGTCATTGTTAATATGTGTTTGTAATGTTTGAATTCAAATGGTGATTAAAGATGGATGCTGTAAAAAGAAATGTCACCCATGCTTGTATATGTGTATTAAAAGGACATCATGATCATTTGAAATGTGGTAGTTTATTCAACATGACAACATGTAGCAAGATAAATGTAGTTTTGTAGTGACAAATGTGTGGTGAAATCAAATGAATATGTGTTCTTGTTTTCTAGTCCTTCTACTCTCATAATTGTAAATACTAAAGCATACATTGTCACTCCCAAAATCACACTGGACATTAGAAATGTTTTAATGCACTGAGACAGCAGGATGTTTGTTTCCGAGGTAGAAGATGCAGCCCGGCTTACACACACTTGCTGCTGTTTAGAAGGCAGCATATTTTTTTGCTAACAAGTTGCTTGTTCTTTGAAGAGAAGTAGCCACAGCCAAAGTTTGTTTAAGGCAACCCCACTTAATGGTGTAGGTGTTTTACATGTCCAGTCAACATTTATACTCCTCTTCATTGAAGAAATGACTACAGAGGCTGCTTTTTGTTCTGCATCACTGACTCAGGCTTGGAGGTCATAAACAATTTGCCAGATTAAGGAAAAGCTCTCTCACGCTAGAAGCAAACTGATTTTTGCTATTGCACTACTTTTTTAGAATTCTATACCAAGGCATAGTGTGTGTTGCCAGGGTTTGATTGTGTCTCTAAAAAATATCAAATCAATATTTAATCTACTGCCCTAATCTCATTCATATTACATCTGATGATTAAATTTGTATTAGTAGCCTAATTTTGATAAAAAATAAGCAAAAAACTAAAATGGTGGTGTGAAAGAAAATCTTCCAAGAAAGATTACAGAATCGACAATGTGATGAATTAAATTCTTTATAAGTGCTGCACAGAGAGAAGAACATAAATGGTGTTCTCTCCCGACACTCTTGCCTTAAATGCCCTCAAGTGAACAAAGAGAAAAATGGTGACCCCCCTGAGAATGTTAATTCAGTCGGGTATTTAAAGACAGTCCTAGGCTTTTCCTGAGATCACAAGTCATGTTAGTGTATTCCACAATAAGTGCTGATGTTTCGGAGCTGCCCCCCTGGTTTTAACCTTCTGTCGGAAAATAGTGACCCTTTGATCATTACGACACGTTGATCTTTTTGTCACTAAGGTGACTGTTAACATACTTTTAAAAAAAATATTTTCCACAGTGTTCAAACTGGTGGAGACCAATACTTTTATAATTATTCTTCATGAAATGAAGCAGTGTTGACAACCAATGTTCACCCCTCTGCTGTATGACCCTTATCAGTTTTTACATTCTCATATATGAACAATTGAAGAAAATTATATTTTGTATGTGTTATATGTTATGTTTATATGTTATTCCCAGAATTCTAGCTGTAGACAGCTTTCAAACAACGTTAGCCACATGCAGTTGTTTAAAGCATTTATTTTCAAGCACCCTGAATAAGGGGAAACAAGACCAGTTGGAAATGGAAAACAAAGTTGTGGTTTTATAAACTTTAAGATGAAGGTGACATGTTTTTCTTCATGTGCTGGATTTACTCCAGGGAATTAAATAAAAGGTTTCAATTGTGCCTCCGTGGACCAACATACAGAAATGGATTACAATGATGTGCAATATAAATGTTTGAATTATTAATGACTGTTCTCCAAATATTTACAGGCACTGAGGTCATTATGAGATGTGCAATGCTGACATGCTGTATAGTCCGTATAAAGTATAAACAGAATTTCTTTGGTTGCATCATTTTGGCCAAACATATAGCCTGTAGGGTAGACCACGGATGGCTGTAACATTTTTGACATTTCTGCCTGCATCTCAGAGCTCTTTTAACATAATAAAACAATTTAACAAAATGCGCACCAACTGAATATTAGTGTGTGCTTGTTTGTCTTGCACCATCATTGTGGTTTTAGACAGAGCACCCCTGGAGAGCAGGCCTCACGGGCTCACAGAGAAGACTACTAAAATATAAGAAAACATAAATACAGCTAAACATTTTGTTGGAGTAGGTTGTAACATTTTCATATTTGTTACAACTAACCCTAGTCAAGTCTCAAGTCTCTCGTGGTTATAATAAATGTTGTATCACCTGCTGCTTTCAATCCAGGCTGCTTATAAAAGGAATTCTGTAACTGTAACCTGTTTTTCACTTACAGAGCACAACCATGTAATCAGCACCGCAACAACTAATGACTGCTAAACTACTATAAACTGTGCTACCTAAATTTTCTTGCAACAAACTGAAACATATCTGCTTTACTAAACTGTTGTCCATCTGTCACTCACTCAACTCTAGCTGACCCTCATAAATAAAGTGACGTTATGATGAAAAGACACATTTTAAAAGCATGATGTGAAGTGTGAATCTGCATGTAAAGAGTTTGTCTTTTCAGCCAGTAGATGTCACTTTTGGTTTGTAACTACTTCAACAGCACACACTGTGGCTATAACTCTCACAGTGTGTACTTTTACTCTTATATATGAGAGCATATGGCATCTGAGGAAACTTGTGTGAGGTTACAAAAACTAGGCATGCTCAGTATCTTGTGATATCACTGATGAAATTCCTGTCCCCTCCTCTTTCTCACAGTCCAGATGGACACTTGTGTAGGAAAAAGGGTTGAGACAGAAAACGGAGAGAGAGACCAATTTATGTGGGTAAACAGGGAGGGAGGTGCAGACCCGCAGAATAAAAGAAGCGTCTGAGCAGGAGGTGGACTAATTTAACCGATCTTTACTCCGCCACAATCCTGAATCCCTCTCAATACCTCTCTGGCCTTCATGAAAGAGCACTTGAGGGGTTGAAAAACATTCCAGAGAGAAAAAGTACCTGGTGACAGAGAGCAGCTTTAGTTTAGAGCGAGAGCAGAAGGGAAAGGTTGTTATCAAGATCACAAAATCCTTCACATACTCAAGAAAATGGAGTCTGTTGCGTTTAATAATGGCCACAGGTTACATGTAACTCTTTCCACTGTGTTGTACTGTGCTCACAGGCCCGAAGAATTTTTCAGACAAAAGTATTTAAGCAATGTCTATTGTGTACTTTGTGGGCTATACATGAAAGTAAAACAACAACTCTCCCAGAGAGTGACGACATTGACAAAACCAACTTTTTTACCAGTCTGTGGAGACTTTGCACTGTGGATTGGTATAGAATACCAAGATTGCATAAACAATAAAATATCCATAGAGGGGATTGTTTGTTTGTACCTAACATTATAATTCATCCCTGTACAATAACACCATAACCTAAGACACACACCTTATTGTTTTAATGTACTGCACTTGTGTTTCTGTTATTTTGTCCTCAATTCAATTCAATTCAATTCAATTTTATTTATATAGCGCCAAATCACAACAACAGTTATCTCACAGTGCTTTTCATAAAAGAGCAGGTCTAGACCGTACTCTGTGATGATATTTACAGAAGCCCAACAGTTCCCACCAAGAGCAAGCACTAGGCGACAGAGGCAAGGAAAAACTTCCTTTTAAGAGGCAGAAACCTCGAGCAGAACCATGGCTCAGGGTGGGCGGCCATCTGCCTCGACCGGTTGGGGTGAGAGAGAGAGAGAGAGAGGGTGAGAGAGAGAGAGAGACCCCTAAATACATTAGCTTAAAACCCCTAGTCCTTACAAAACATTTGACTTTGTTTGTTGATTTGGCAAGGCTTGGAAATATCTGTGAGACATTAGAAAGAAATGGAAGTTCAATTTCAAAAATAAGCTGCTCATGAAAGAAAAAGGACATATGAAACAAAGGAATGACATAATGGTGGGGTTCATCATCGGCTAATTGATGTCTAATGGAAAAGTCTACTGATCCACAAGGAGGGGTTGTGGAAAAGTCAGGGGGAAACTTTATAATATCTAAATTCTAATATGGCTGTGATTTTAGAAAAAGCCCCTAAATTGAATTATACAGTCTTTTAGTCTGCACGTCTCCCTCATCAGAAATTGTTTGTCACTGCAACATATAGCTTTCATGTTGATGCACGGCGCTCAAGGCAAAATATTCTCACTGAACAATAGGAATATTAAAAGCACTCATTTCACCCGCTTCGAGATAGAAAAAACATGCTCGCATGCACACAAACGTTTGCATGATAGAGTTGCAGATGAATAGGGTGGTTTGAGAGTATAATTGTATCCCTTGTGGCTCTCCAGAGGACAGCACTGAGACTCAAATTAAAGCTCTGACCTGGTTAGCTTTCTGTCAGCAGAGGGTGGTGCTGCCCCCCACATTTACTTTGCATAGATTAACTTGTTGAATACTATGTGGGCGTGTTACACACTCACACAGCTATGACTGACCACCAAGAGCAAGTTAAAATGAAAATTCTCAACAGTGTCACTTCAAAAATTCAGTTTGGTATCACCAATTAGAGTGTTAGTCTATAGAGAAAATTAGACCATATAGTCATTTTTAGACATTTACAACAAAACACTATAGACCATATTTGTGACATAATCTAGTGATAGCACAGCACATTCGAAATATCTACAATCTTGAACACCACATAAACATTATTAGACCCCATGGGTATGTCGTGAGGGTCTTTAGGGACCCCTACCAGGATGAATAGTATTTTTTACTGCAGACATTTTAGCTTTTCTTAGCATGGCTCAGGTGGCTCAGTTCAAAGTGCCCCAGGAGCCCATACAAGTAAACCCTCAATGTACCCTCAGGGCCCGGGAACTGGCACAACTAAACGGTACATGTCAAAATGTCTGTCCTGTAAAAAAAAAAAAAAAGGTAAGGTGACATAAGCAGTCATGCCATTAATGTTTGTTGCTGTAGTGCCACCTGTAGGCAAAATGCTATAAAATGTTAAAAGATTACTCAGAGTTGATGAGGGCATATTTTATTTTAATATGTTTGTGTTGCATAATGCGGTCAAGCAGGAATTATGGCTATTTGTTTATGTTTTTACCATTAGCTTATTTGGAGAATTGGGCTATATGGAAATACCAAAAGCAACATCTGCTAAAAATCCAACATTCAAAAAATTCAAAATGGCGAGAAATAGGCTAGTGATGGTCTGACCTTGCTAGTCTCTGGATTGAACCATATATGGTTGGACCAAGCAGTAAAGGAAACAAAGTTTCTTTCTCTAAAAAGTTCAAGAGAAATGAGAAAACATTGCTTTTGTTCACATGGTGGTGGCCTCATTTGCACTAATCAGTTATTGATTAACTGGCCTAATGTTCCGCCAAATTACTGTATATTGAAATATATATAAAAAAATTTAAAAAACCCTGCTGACTGACAGACAAAGAAACATACACTTACATATTGGAAACAGTGTTTTTGGACAGCGCGATAAAAACATCTAGATGTATTTTCCGTGAGTATAACCGTCACAGACAGGAAAGAATAAAGTGATTTTGATGAATCAATGTATGTGGGGTTATCAACAGAGATGACGTAATGTGTATACTAATGGACCATTCCTCCAGAGGGGATGTTCCTGTCAGATATCGGCAAATGACCGTTTCCTTCCACTGTCAGGTGAGCTCCCGGTGTCCCCGCTCCGTGCAGTGTAGATGGTACAGTCCACATGCAGTTCGGAGTTGTTGCTGAGGAGGTTCCACTGTTCAGCACATACCGTTAAATTGGCATGCAGCCTACGCTTGGGTCCTGTAGCAGGAGACTGCGCTGCTTTTGAAAATGTTGCCGTCTTCTCACCGGAGTAACCTCGGACAGCAGGGCAGGGTTGCATTATTTTACCTTATGTGCGGTATTACAGGTGAGTCCGGGATTTTGTGTGGCAGTTTTATTTGTTCTACTAACACAGAAGTTTTTTGAAAGAGCCGACCGTCTCGCGCATCATGCAGAAATCCTAACGAGCGAACCGGCAAAAACTAACCTGCACACCGTGCGCTTTAAGTGCGGATTATTTGAAGTTTAGCAAGTGTCGCAGGTGTCATTTAAACACCAAAGGAAACTTGGATACAAGTTCACTTCAACGCTTTGGAGTGCCAGCTAGCCAGCGCCACCACCGCGGATCACTGTGCGACTCGAGGCTGCCATAGAGACAGTCCATAGACACCGCGAGGAGCACAGGCTGTGATGTTCAGTTTAATATACCGTCACCCAACATATACTTGGGTCATTGTACATTCAGTGGCAGCCATATTAGCTTTAGACACATTTTCTATCAAAGTAACATGGTGCTATGTTGTGTGTCACGCAAGCTGCTTTTTGCAAAATGTTGAGAAACTTGTATTTGTATCATCAGAGAAGACAATGCTAAATGCCAGCATCTTTCTAGTCGGGATGAGGGTCAGCCACTATGTGCCTGCAGTGGAGCCTGAGCTCATTATGATTTAATCAAGGGGTGGGCAATTTACTAACTCCACCCTAAAACTGCTAACTTTGTGCCCAGTGCTGTAGTATTGCTAAACTCTATAAGAAAGGATACTACAGTTTAGCTCCAAAATCCTTCTCATAACTACTCTCAAGTTAGCACATTATGTGTTTTAGAGAAACCAGTGAATGCATGGCTACAAATGGTGCCATGCCAGACAGTTTATCTATCCCCCAAGCTGTTTCTCTCTCCTACATTATTTCCCATGCATTATCTGAAGGTAGGAGAAAGCACCCCTAATACATTGACTGAAGATGTTTCAGTGTAATAAGTTAAATGCAACACCACCACAGACTGCCTCCACTGTAGAGCTGAGTCAACTCTCACTAAATTTCATTTAAATAAAGTTAGTGTTTGTTGCAGGGCTGTGCTATTAGATTGTATTACAATGCAACAGGGTTTCTGTTTTTCTTGTCACTCACTTTATCCGATTGACAGTTTTTTAAATCAACAATAGCAGTTATTTTAGCCATAAAACAGATATGGTTGTAAAATGTACGACAGTAATGGCCATACCGTAGACATCTTTTTTTCTAATTCACTGGCTCTATCCGTTGCCCAGTGTCTAATAAGTGCTTATATTGCTCATGCCATCATGTGTGTCTACCCACTGTTTTATGTTTTATGTATGGGCCTCTCTTGCACACTACTGGACAGAGAAGAAAAGCTCTATGCTACTGTACTAGACAGATCCTTAACTCTCGACTTGAGACTCAAGGAAAGTGACCCAGAGACCCTCTTTCACATTATTAATGTAGTGTAAAGACTGCAACTGGATGATACCCTCTTGTTCTGTCATGTTATTAGCGGGATCCCAAAGTCCATTGCTAAACACACCGTTTTCTTCCTTCGGGGAGTACAGGTTGAGGAACAGACAGGTGCCCATTTGTCTAGCTTTAGAGTAAGTCTGCTGTACATTTCAATGAAGGGGTTGACCTTGTGCCTTTTTTTGAATGCAAAATAGATACACACCCTCACAGCTAATAATGTCTAGGCCTTAAAGTGGAACAAGATTTAATGTTTCCACAGGGGTAGAAGAAAAGGGCTCCAATTAAACCATGTGCATACCCAAACATAAACAATTAGCTAGGGCAGGCTCAAAATGTGGTGCTATCAAGCGGGAACCTCAAGGTTTAAAAAGGGAGGCAAATGCGGAAGTCTCTTAAATCTGCAACGGCCAGCAGGCAACTCCTCTGGTTGCAAAAAGAAGTCCGGTTCCACTAAAAATAATTACTTCTCACCTGATTTATTACCTCAGTAAACACTTTCATAATGAGTTTATTGTTTCAATTGCTAGTTTCATGTCTCCTTTAATACAGCATGATGTTTATTTACTAAATTATGTACCATAATGTAACAATTTAGAGGAAAATAGACGATAAAGCAGAGTATGCTTCAGGGCAGGACTACTCTGTAATTGACAAGTTGCTACCATGGCGAACTGACCACCAGGCTAGAGGGACTCGTCCACCACGGCACTGTGTAAATTTAACCAGCGCTGAAAAAGCTTATTAGAAGCTGGCTGTTCATTTTCTCCGCTGAGTAAATTTAGTTTTAAGACTTGTTCACTAGACAAAATTATCATCCCGGTTAAAATAAACGTGATTTACAGATGCACCTAGCTAAGCAAGCTGGCTAGCTCCACACAGAGCAGTTTGCTCCACAGTCTTGTCCAAACATGGTCACGTCTGGTGCCGCTGGTTGTAAAAAATCAACATGGTGGCGCCGTAACGGCCAAACTCAAGGCTTCTAAATGGCAGTCCACAAAGCAATGGGTGACGTCACGATGACTGCGTCCACTTCTTATACAGTTTGTGGATACTGTTGGTAAATTTGGCTGTATGTGTGATCCGTTCACATTACATGGTGATGAAATCCGATGGTAATATCAAAAATGATGCAGGTTTAAGGCCTAACAAACATGCGCTCCCTTTAACTTTTACAGTTTTAATTTATATTTTTGGTGTTTTGAAGTTTGAACAACTGCCATTTGGATTGTATCAGGTACTTCCCCTACTTCTTTAATGGCTTCCTTTTTACAAGTTGATTTGGGAAATTTCATGACACTACACGACAACATACAGCTGATCTTGTCCATTTCATGTAGTAGAAATGATTAGTGCTCCTACACTTTTGCATGACTGCCCTCTCCAGTCAGCTAGAAATGTGTATTGTGTCACCCCTGTGCATATGTGCCTTTGTGCAGCTCTATTAAGCTAGTCATAAAATGTGTTTGTTCAAAAAAGTTGATTTGAGGGTCTGACACACCACACTGTCAAACGACCATTAAATCCTTCTCTGTCCTGCTCTGCACAGCTGGCTCTGCCACTTCCACCCTTACACCATCAGCACACACATTACAAGACACGCTGCCCTCTGGCAAGGCGCACATATTAATACACTTGCTGCCACATAAGTGGTGCATGGGAAGGTAATATTGACTAAAGTGAGAACAAGCAGCAGAGTGTCCCCAGGGAGCAATGTGTCCTTGATGCCGGGATATCTATAATCTGTTTTCGTGTGTGTGTGTGTGTGTGTGTGTGTGTGTGTGTGTGTGAGTGAATGAGACACATTGTGTTGCTTTTGCAAACCAAACTGAAAGTGTGTACAGTACCTGCTCTCTTTGACGAGAACTTAAAGCAGTTTCTTTTCTTTGTCTGTGCAGCACAAGAAGAAGAGAGAAAACATTCTTATTGCTATGTCAAGATAGGCTGCATTTAAGATCAGACAGACTTTGCCCTTATTCTCATCACTTTTTTATTGTGAGTTGGAGAAAACGAGGGCACGCTTATGTAAGGTTGTCGTCATGTCACCAATAAAAATTTAATACAGTCGCTATACCTCTTTCATTACATATTCAGTGCAGGGAAAATGCTGCTGTTTTCTGCTCTTACTCTGCTGTTATTCTTGCTGTCAAGTCTTATCATTATCACTGACAAATACAGTAAGCAGAAGCTCACTTACAGTATATTGTACAGTAGTATCGGGATTCAGGTGACATTTCACATATTTTAAACAAACCGCTTAATTTCTTGTTTATTAAGTAGAAGGGTAAATACTATATCATGCTTTCATTCAGAAAGTTTGATTCCCCTACTGTGTCCCTGTTTCCACTTGGGTGGTCCTAACACATTTTTTGAAGGAGTGGCAGTTAAGTAACTTGCCATGGGGCATTTGTGGTGACATGCACATGAAGTACCAGTTTATTTAAATGTGTTCTCAGCTCTCTGCCTCCTGAATTGATCACTTGATTTAATCAGCTGTATTCTGTTTGGGGTGATTTTAACTTCAGCAACTGAACAATTGCAAACATTAGCTTGGGGCTATATTCAGAACAGCTTCTTTCCTCCATCACATGAGTTGTGATCTGTGTGTAGAGTGGTATGTGGGCTATGTGAGTATTCTTCTGGTGGGTCATTCAAACAGTCCATCCCCTCTGTCTAGGTTTTGTATTTTTTTTTGGTTCTCAAAACTATAAATGGCTGAACGCCACTGAGTCCTGACCTGATATGTTAGCTCTTTTATGTTGTGCTGTGTGTTCAAGAAGGGGGTGCTCTGATCTGTTGGTAAAAAACAAAATTATATCTTTCCTAAAGTACTCAACTAACTAAAACACAGAGTTACTTTTGGGAAAAACAACATTTTCTTCACAATACCGTCTAGTACAGGGCAATCCATCCAGAATATGCTTCACAGTATCTCTGGTGGCCTTACTCTCTGGTGTATTGTATATTACATATTATAAGCTAACAGTATGCTAGTGGAATAGAATACACAATCACACTTTTGATAATTTAAAGCAAAGCCAGATTGATCCAGCTACCACATGCTGTAGCCTCGGCTTAGTTTAGTTTGACAGAGGGACTCCAATGGCAGCTAGCACAGCTCTGCAAAAAACATCAATGATGAACTAACATGTAAGTAAAAGTTTAAAATCAGAAATTATGAAGTTAAAAACTTCTTTTTAACAATTCAGGTTTCTTACTCAAATAATTTTAATTAATATAATAATAGAGTATTTCCTTCTCAAGTCAATCCATTAGCTGAGAGTACTATATTGGATTCACCAGTAGAAATGAACGTGATTACTGCTTAGCAAGCTTGATTTGTCTTATTTATTAAGTTAGCCAAATCCAGCGGGTATCATCCAAAGTTCTTTTTGGTATGAAACTCTGTCTCTGTGCCCATTCTTTACAAAAAAGACTGCAACTGGATGATACCCTCTTGATCTGGCTAACTTGGGCAGATAAAGCCTAATATTAGCTTCTGCTGTTAGTTTCAATATAGTTTGTAATTAGGGGTGTGACGAGATTTCTTGCCATGAGATCTTGCAATAATAAAATGTGGTTTTATTTTATTTCTCATCAAGGTGAAAAGCTGTCTCATGACATCAGCATGCCAGAGTCTTGAGGGTGAAATTAGTATAGAAGATTCCCACGCCACTTTAATGTAGCATTTCAAAATGCACCTGCATTATTCTGCATTTTTGACTCAATCGGATAAATGACTATTATATACTATCATATATTTTGTCATTGTAGATTTCTTAAAAATACTGTTAAACATTGTCTCGTTCTCATGAACCCAATATTGTGTATCGTATCGTCTTGTAAGCTAAGTGTGTCGTTACACTCCTATTTGTAATATATTTTTGCACAGAATGAACACTGGATTTTGTCCCATTACTTCCATTGAAAATGCATTGGGAGGAGATCTCCTATTGGTCAGTATGAGCAGGAATATGATTACAGCAAGCAAAAACTAATGTACATATAGGGACCTGATTATTGTTTTTACAGAGACTTGGGGGGGAAAAATGTGAATGCAGAGTAACCATATGGGTTGAATAAACTTAGAGTAAAGTTCATTATTTTGGCAGATTTACAGAACTGCGTATGTATAGCATAATGTGTTTTGTGTGTGTGTGTGTATTAGTGTGAAACCAATGCATAGCCCTAAATAGCACATCAATTCAGGAATAGTTCTTCTACAGCAACCACAGCTGAACATCTCATCACTGTTGCACTGATATCTGCTGCCTTTTCTCTGTATGAGCAATACGATGACTCATTATACCTACTCTATCAGCATTTCATATCACTGGTCTTATATTTTAGATATTTATTTAAAGCCCCATCTTGTATATAAAAAAAGTTGAATAGATTGCGGTGTCAATAGTTAGATTTTACAAGTGGATTAATATTTACTATATGATTATAATTTACAATATTTATTCCCCAGTTTAAGAAATTAGTCACACCAGTCTGGATTTTTGTGTCATTATCTGCAAGCTCTAATGACTAACCATTTAATTAACCTCTGAACCTATAACATGAAAAGTGACAACTAGAAGTACTGTCAAATAATTGCAGTGTTCACTCTTCATTCTAAACAGAACATTTGTACTTTGTATTTTAGGGGTGGGGATGGGATTCTACAGAACTAATATTTGAGGACATTGCATTTTAGAGAGAGACTGGCCAGAGATGGAGCTGTTTTTGGCAAAACAACAATAGAATATTTGGAGTCAGTTGCCAGGCAGCGCAGCAGGTTTTGATTTATGGAGTCTTCCTGCTGGCAGCTTGTTGCAATTAGTGATCTGGTTGACGGCTTTGGCAGTCTAGTGGTATTATATTGTTTTTTCTAAATCAGTAACGTAATTCCTCAGTTTTTTGTTTACTGGAGTCCTGGGGATACATTTCCTCGCACTTGTGTTTCAGACGTGACTTTGCTCTCGCCTCTCCTCACTCCCAGCCTTCTTTTTCTTCTTTCAGCGATGATGTCATCGTCGTGTTAGCATTTCTCTTCCCCTCTCTTTTCCTTTTTTTCCCCCTGCCGGTCTCAGTCTGTTCTCTTGACATCCCTTTTGACTTCCCTCAACCCGATGTTGAGCGCTCTCTTTTTTTGAGACATGCCACATTTCTGACAAGTGCAGGTGACAGAGTCCATGGGTTAGTTATATTTGTACAAAGGACATACAGTCAGCTTGCTTTTAATTCCCGGATTCAGGTCAGGAGGAGGAAAGCTATAGAGACAAAACAAATTCATCAGTGGAACACTCATCACACAGTCAGCTGTGTATTATTTGTTGAAAAGCCCAGCGCCTGCTGTGGTGGTATCAAGCCTTCATTCCAGTCTGATACCCACAGATGTCAGTTGGTACTGACAACTTGTAGAGATATAAAATTGTTTTAATGACTGACGTCACAGGTAACACAGAAATACTCTTCACTCGCAGACGCTATCATGATGTTCTTGATTTATCGCTCAGTATTAGATTGATGACTTGTCCGCTCTGATAATCCTGCCTGACATGCTTTTAATTGAAAATGTCACCTGTGCCAGTGAGAGTAAAGCAGTGTGTTTCTTTTCTGCCAGAAGAGTAAATTTGCCACCATATCAATTAGGGCCGCAACAAAACAATGTTTTTCATCATAGATTAATCTGTCAAGTAATTTTGCATTAATCGATTGATGGTTAACTCTATGAAATGTCAAAAAGTCAGACACACCTTCTGGGAGCCCAAAGTGTCATGCTTAAATATCCGATCAATCCAGAATAAACAAATACTGAAAAGCAGCAAATCTTAACATTTAAGAAGCTTGACCTGGGAGGGATGGGAATCGTTAATTTTAATTGATATTGATACCATTTTCAAGACTGCTTAATCATCCCAGTCTTTATTGATATCACCATCAATACTTTTCTGGACTACTGAAATCGCAGTGAAACTGTTAGTTGGTTGCCCTGACGTTGCGTTCCCCCGTTAACATGAAATTAACTTGAAACATAAATTGCATTTCGCTACCTCCTTATCTTTGGTTTACGTTAAATGTAGCCAAGCCTTTGACCACTTTGCACATTCAGCCATTTTAGCAGGCAACCGATTGACCAAATGAGAAATAAGGTGAACGAGGGCATGAGGCTGTTCAATTCTTCTTCTTTGTTAATTTAACGGCAGTTTGGAGGCAATTCAATTAAATTCAAAAACTTTATCAGACAATTGATGTATGTTGGTGCACCAGTGATTTTGATTTAAATGACATGACTCTTGTCTCTCGAGACATAACGTTACATTATAGGACCCGCTAGTCTCGTTGCCCGTATCGGGCCAGGTCGTGATCCCCATTCCTATCTAAAACTATTCAGTCGAACAATTAGTCGATTCATCTGTTAGTTGATCGACAGAAAATAATCTGCAACAATTTAGATATTTTTCATTTCATTTTTATCAAAATAACATTTTTATCATCAAAATTAATGGCAATTCATTATCAATTGACCAATTTTCAGCTCTACTATCCATACAAGGTGGAATTTACTGACAGTGAATTTATTGACTTGTGTCAATTAAAAGTATTGGTTTTGGTTTTGAAACCATTTGGAAGTATAAAATAGTGTTCCTTCATTGCTCAGTTGTTTAATTAAAGACTAGCAATTATCTAGATTCTCTGTGGGTCTCAGGAGGTCTGAATGATGTTAGTAAGATTCAATAGTAAATTCTTTTTACCAGCAGTGGATTTCTCATTTTGTAATCTGCGGAAGTACAAATTAACAATTAGAGCACTAATTAGGCTAAAAGGATTATACTTCAAAATAAGTGGGCATATTGAATTTTAAAGATGTTTTAACAATCAAAGGTATAGTGTAATTGCTGTTCATTTCTAGCTGTTTTGGTTAGTGGTGTTAGAATAATCTAAACCTGTGTGCAAATGAACATCTCTCTCTTTTGGCAGGTGTGTGGGGCAGTCAGGTGGTGGTGCCTCAGAGGGTGAACGCTGTGCTGGGGAAGAATGTGACATTAGAGTGCAGAGTGGAGGTGGGCACAAACCTTACTCTTACTCAGAGTTGCTGGGAGCGCCGTCTGCCTTCAGGCTCTGTCACAGTGGCTGTCTACAACCCACTGTTGGGCATCTCCATCCCCCCAGAATATATCCGTCGCTTGTATTTTCGCTCACCCTCCTCTCATGATGCCACCATCATACTGGAAAACGTGGGCTTTTCTGATGTTGGGATCTATACCTGTAAGGTTGCTACATTTCCTCTGGGAAATACTCAAGCCTCCACTACTGTCAATGTACTCGGTAAGTATTTACATGCATATTTGTTCTCCTATGGGATATGTTCCTAGAAAATAATTGTCGGTAAAGGAAATAATTGTTAGTTGCATTTTTAGCTTGTTGGGGCTGGACAACATGGTTGAAATCAATATCACCGTGTTGTAAAAAGATTATATTGATATATATCAAGATATGACTTATGTATGCAAATAATCAATTTGTTGTTTAGTGCAATGAACTTGCTCCACCGGTATTCATTACATCAGACAAAACTGATGTAATGAATACCGGTTACTAATTTTCCAAGTTTTTCTATGCTACATGTTTGGACTTATTCGTTTAGACAACTGAATTTTGTTCAAGGCTAAATCAATATCATCATGATAAAATTTCAATGAAAGTTCATAAAAAGCAATATTGAATTGTTGGCCAGCCCGAAATATGGCTTGACCTCCTCAGCCATGCCAGTGTGATATTTAAGTCCATATATCAAAGGACCTGTGAGAAATGGCAGGTGTTTTGAATTTTGCTGAAGTGGATTTCCTTTTTTTATTTCTTTTGGATCACACTTTGATCACAGGCATGACTAGAGCTGCTAATAACTGGTTGTTTGGGTTGTAGTGGAATGTATTGATTAAAAAAATGTAATGGCAATGTTTGTAACCCAGTAAAATAATCTCAGATGGGTTTTGAAATTCAAATTTCTCCTTTTTGTTATCTTTGCTCACTCTCTGAATCACAGTGGAGCCGAAGGTCTACGTGTCTGCAGGCTCAAGTGCCCTGATCGACGGTGGCAATGATACCGTGGTGGCTACCTGTATTGCTGAGCGGGCCCGGCCCCCTGCTGAGGTGTCCTGGGAGTCCAACCTTTTTGGCCAGTCAGAAGTGCAGCTATTTGACGAAGTCAACGGCACTACCAGCACACAAGTGAGCTACCTCTGGCAGCCCACACGTCACGTCCAGGGCCACACGCTCACCTGTGTTGTGCGCCACCCGGCTCTGCAGAGTGACTTCAGGATCCCCTACCAACTCAATGTGCAGTGTGGGTGCCTTATGAGTGGCTATTTGGGGTAACATATTAACAGCTGAAAGAGAGCCATATAGCAGATACATTGATTAATATTGATTCTTGTCCTGCTGTAAGACTTTTATTGGGTATTTTAAAGAATCACTAGCAAAAAATGTATTGAAAATAAGTTGCAAAGTCTATTAGACTAATCAGGCCGGAATAAACTGGGCAGCCTACAGTGGGTAGATTAAAGGGTGCAGTTGAGTCTACACTATAAAATGGGGTCCAAGAGAAGGCTCCCTGCGGTCAACTGAAGCAGGACAAACGTAGCAGCTATATTTCTGCTCCCCTCCTTTACTTTACTTGAACATTTAAACGCTGTATTTAGCAGAAAGTACAGGCCGACAATCTAAAAAGTAAAGGTGATTTGATTTCCTACTGCAGTCAGTTGATTATGCTTGGCCTTGTCAGTTTTGATGTTGGATTTATTTGAAACACTTTAACAATGATTCAATTTTGAAAACACCTGAATTGACAGAGATGAAATCAAGGACAAGGTCTTTACAGGGATTAATTATGATTTAAGAATGGCTGTCCTTGTGGTGTTGTCTTAGACTTTTCGTGTGTGTGTGTGTGTGTGTGTGTGTGTAAACGTGTTTTCTGTTAGTAAGAACCCCGTAGATATTGGGGAATACACATCTGTACTTTGTGGTGCACAAATATATCTCTTTGCACAAGCTGCAAATGGACTGGTGAAAGGAGTAAAATTACCTCCCTGAAAATATTTTATTTTAAGTTTGATAGATGCATTTAACTTTGGTCTGACTTACTGTGTATGCTTAATCGGTATGTGGAATAGTGATTTGGTTTATAATTATGAAATCCATTAGAACATGTGAGTAGTGAATGTTTGCTTCCCTGCACACTGTACTATGTTCTTGATTTGACCAAACACCTTAGTACATATTTGGAAGGACACAGGCTCATGTCTCTAGTCCATGACCGACCTCAGACTCCATATAATGCTGTACACAAACTACGCACACGGTCATCTTGCATGTGTTTGCTGATGTAAAGCTCTGAGAGTCTTTGCCAGAACTGTCAATAACAGAACAGAAATATTTTTAGAATATGAAAATTGACCTTGGTATTCCAGGTTTCTGCTCAAAGCTTGTTTGTTAGGTTTCTGGAAAATTCTGTAGTGATATCTCAATCATTTTGTCTTTTGTCCCCTCTCTTTGTAGTTGCTCCTGATATCTCAGTTGTGGGCTACGATGGAGACTGGTACGTGGGTCGGGAAAATGTTCAAATGACGTGCAAAGCCAATGCAAACCCACCGGCTCATCACTTCAGATGGATAAGGTGTGTGTATGACATTTTTCTTTTCTTTAAAAATGACCCAATAGGCCAAAAGCTGTAAACACAGTGGGATTTGCTCCCAGCAGGGTCTGAAATTAACATTTTACACTGCCACTGTAGCAGACTAGTTTGGTTTGTCTGCTAATCTGAAATTTCATCTGCCACTTGCATGTGCTAAATGAAGGAATAATATTCAGGTCAGTTAGGCATAATTTAATGTAAATAACGTCATTCACTGTTCAATATATATTTACACAAAAACGTTACACAGAGCACTTCTGTCTTTCCGTACATGACAATCACTCCACCTTATTTAAAAATCATAAACAACAAGGTATTTTAAAGTTACCACAGACAACAAGAAACACAAAGTTCACAAGAACTTCAAAACAGTCTTTCTTACAGTCACTGCTTAATACAAAACCCATAGTTCAACCACCAGTGAATGAGTCCTTACCTCAATTAAAATCTCCACAAGAGTCCATCTCGCAACAAAAACATCCTCCGTGATCCTAGCAAGTAAAAAAGTAAATAAAAGTGAGACGTCTTGCTTCTAATAGACAAGCTTAGTGATTGTCCAACAACACTGGAGTTACCGTAGTCCGGCCGGTGCGCTGCTGGTAAGCTAACCGGCTGTGACTCAGGATGCACTGTACATTTTCCACTGGTATACGTTTTACAGAGAATTACAAAACCGTAATAATGAGCCTTTAAAATATACATTTTATAAAGGGCACAAAGCGAGCAGCCTGCGGTAATGATTCTAAATGTGTCGAAACAACCAGCAAGGAGATATTTTGTAAATTAATTTCAACACCGTATAACATCACACAAGTATGATTGAGATGTGCGTGGTACGGGACTTCCATGTTACATGAGAAAAGGTCTGTGTTGCAACAATCCCCTGATACTTTCGTCCCAGAATGGCCCCAACTCAGATCCCGAATGAAGTTTGAGGTTGTTGATTTCTTTTCAGCGACTGATCAGTGAAAACTTGACAAGAAGAATCTTGTCAAGTTTTTGTCGAATATTTGCGGGCAGCCCTACTAATTTCAGACCCTGGCTCCCAAGAATATTTAAACGGCCCAGTACCAAGTAGTATAGAAACCTCTCCAGTCAAACGAGTACTTCGATCCTTTTTGTAGCCAGATCAGGGGAAAAATGACTATTTGTATGGTTTTGCTCGCCAAATACCACCTCCTTTCTTTCTTGCTTATGTGCCCGCACAGCATTTGTAAGTCTCAGCATTGGCTGCGGTCTCACGTATGTTCATCACTATTATAAGTTTATCACCACAAGCTTGGCTTTCAGTTTGTTTCATCTTCTGATATCCTTTAACACTACTTTGTAATTTTTTTTGCAATTCACGTCACTTGTCACCAATCATCAGTGCTTTTGATCATTTCAATTCAACATTTTTATGGCGCAGCATCACATCAGCTGAATTCACTCACGGAGCCTCCAGGTGCTTATATCAGATGTAGTCTGATTGGCTGGATGTGCAGTTCCTTTGCTAGTTTCTTTAGAGTCTTTAGTGTAGTTTCACTACTTGTTTAAGCTGATTCCTTACTCATTTTCTACTTCTTACTTCACGACTCACCACTAAAGGAAAACCCATGGAGATCTTTCAATTCAGTCTTTTAAGATTTATTGGTCCAACGTTAACAAAAAGTCCGTCATTGGCTTTCAACAAACGTATCAAAAAACTGATCTGATCTGATACAAGTTCCAATTTTTATATAAGTTATTTCAAACAATAAAGAAAAGAAAATAGATCACATTGCTTGTCCATAACAACAATAAAAATAATACCAGCCAACTGCTATGGCTTCAACAGGTGACATTTTAGGCAAGGTATCAAACAAAGTACTCTATTGGTATCAGTATCACTTTAAAGATACGTGTTTATACTGGTACTGGTATAATAAAATTTGAAATGGTACCCAGTCCTACAGCTCAGTAAACCCAAAACACAGTTTTTATAGACTAGCAAAGGCTAAATTAAACCGATTTACTTTTTTAAATGTCTCCAATTATCTTTTACTCATCCAAGACTTTCAGGTCACTGTAGGTATGTCTTTGTGTGTCTAAATGTTTGCATCTCTTGTGCATCATAGATTGGACAGTGAAATGCCAGAAGGGGTGGAAATAATGAACAGCACTTTGCTCTTCCTGCGTCCTCTCCAGCGGAATGACTCTGGAGTTTACAGGTGTGAGGTTGCCAATGACATCAACCTTCGCAGTCGGGATGTGCGCATTCTCATACAAGGTGAGCGGAGAATACACACCGGAACACAGCTGACTCCTAATGCCCGCTCTTCCCTTAGGAAGCACTGTGCGTGCACTCACGTCATACAGGGTATCAGTGCCGGTGACATTGTCCTTCAAGCTGAAATGTGACACTGTATCACTCTCGCCCATTCTGTACATACTGACAGTCTATCAAGCCGTTGCCCGTGGTACAGTGTGTTGGCACTGATAATATTTTGACCCTGAGATGTAGTCTTAATTGCATGTTGATTAGCCTTGATTAACATTTGGTCTCCAGATGTTTAGAAGGGGAGTTTGTGGGTCAAACAGCTGCAAATATTTAAGGCCTCTTTAGACCACAGTGCACTGCTTCTGCTCTGTCCTCTTGGCTTGTCTATCTTTTGTGTATGATGAGCATGTTCCTCTGGTTTCACAAAATCTGTCCTGTCTGTGGAAGCGCTCTTCCTGAATGAAGTTCTGATTATGATGTGATTTTTTTTTTTTCTTTAACATCTCTCCCGCTTCCTTTCTGTGTTTCTTTTATTCCTGCATGTGCCATGCAGTAAGAGGCAAAAGCCTGCAGTCTGACTGTGAGATGATGTCCCAGATTCATAAAACATTAACTATTTCTTTTCAACTCCTATTTATTATTTATCATCCATATTTAATTTTCCTTTGAGAGAACCTGTGCAGTGTTGTGTACCCGTGTGTGTGTGTGTGTGTGTGTGTGTGTTGTGGTTGTACTCACACGTCAGTTCACTGCCCTTGCATGAAGTTGTATGAGTCAGATAGTTGGAAACTGCAAACCTACGGGTTTATGTTTGTCATCTCCCACATGTGAATCTTTTCCTCACATCTGGCCTGGCACTGAGGTTAAAGTGGCAGAGTAATTTTTGAGCACCATTAAAGCTTTTAAACTCTTTCCATTACTCCTTCTGAGTATGTTTTTTCTGTTTTGTGGGCATGTTAAGGTTGTTCTAATGTTTGTGAGCAAATCTTTAGTAAAATAGTGGAAACGCACCATAACTTCATTAAATCACCTCACTAAGTCACACATTTGCTAGGTTCCTGTTGTAGTTGCACCCAAATCCATTCACTCAAGTTCTTTAATGTTTTTATTACTTGTGTACTATATATGCAGTTCAGTAGTCTTCAATTTCTTTAGTAGCCTTTTAGTTTGTTCTTGCTTAACCTTATAATTTACAGAGATATACCTATGTCTTCAAGTGTGTTCATGCCAAATAAAGAAAACTGACAATTGCATAGTGTTAAATAAAAGTAAAATACCTGAAACTGTACTCAAATAAGCTTACCGACCAACACCATAAAGGATTTGTAAAGATGTCTCACATCTTAATTCTTAAATTATTGAAGTGATAACATGGTCTGCTTTGAGAGAAGAATACATTTTGGTTAAAGATTAAAAATGCTAGTGAATACTTGTTTTTAAACTATTTCAAATCTGTAATTACCAGTTTTATTTTCAGGGGGAATATTCAACACTACTGTCTTGTAGTGATAATTTTAAAAAACCTTGCCAGGAATTTGGTGCTCTTTCGTTTAAATGCACTGCTCAGACCCTGCTTGTAAGAAAACTTTCTCATTTGGCAGTCATCTAATATGTCATACCAAATCTTAGAAACTTTATGTCTTTCTTACAATCACTGTTTAATAGTAGAATAGTTGTTTAATAACTGCACACACACGCTCTGAGGAATTGGAAATGCAGACATGAGGCTGCTGTGAACATGTAGTTTAGTATGTGTGGTAGTTTAGTTGATGTTTTCAGGGCTTTCCACAAGAATAAGCAGTAGACAGTGGGGGGAAAGTACCCAGCTAGGGGTGTCCTGGGGCACAAGATAATTAATACGTGGTGTATATGGGAAATGCAGTGCTTTCTTTTCTTAATGCTTACTGCGCAATCATCAAGTGGCCACCACCGGTGTTTTCCAAAGTAGCTCATCTAATGAGGATGTCCCCCGTCTGTGCAATTCTTAATGTATTTTGTCATAAATTATTTAGCTAATATTTGTCAAGGCAACGCTCCACTCTCTTCTCAGCAGGACACAACCTCTCAGCTGAGTGCGCACACACATTGATATAAAGCATGTGGGGGCAGGACTGATAGAGAATGATAGGCACTTTGCTCTATCACCACGCTTGCAATGTTTTGAAACGTAGGCTAGCAGTTGTAAAATGTACACACATAGCGAATAACATCTTGTTCAATCAAAACAATTTTAGTAGGATCAAAAATATTTATAGTAAAAAAAAGTAGCGGGATGGACTTGAAATGAGTATTCTGCTGTTTGACCGCCAGCTGGCGCTTATGGAAAGCTCTGTTTTCGTCAACCCTATCTCTACTTAGTAAAATGCTGATGTAGTTGGCATTGACATTCTCTCTGCTTCTGTCTGTTCATCTCTCCTTTCCACCCTCTACTCCCCCCTCTTACCCTCCTTCCCTCCATTAGATCCTCCCACCATGCCTTCCACCATTACTGCTCCTGTCCTAACTGGCTCTGCCTCCTCTACCTTAGTGGATGATAAGGGGCATGTCCTAATCAGCTCCCCCACACTTGAAGCCCTACCTGAGAGTAATCTTGGTTCCATAGTGGGTGGGGCTGTGGGCGGGGCCTTGTTCCTCCTGCTGCTGCTGTGTCTGGTTGGCGTGTGTTACCTACGGAAACAGCAGACCTTCCACGGGAACTACTACACCAAGCAGTACCTGGGCGCTAATGACCTCCAGAAAGCCCCCACGCAGCACGAGCTCCACCCTACCAAAGCTGGCAGCAGCTCCCACCATCAGGACCACGACCGTGAGGAGTGGGGCGACCGCCAGCTCAAACATGAGCGCGACCGTCGTCACCATAGCAACTACAACGGAGAGGAGTATCCCTCTAATGGCTACACTAGGGCGATGAGGGAGAGCAGTCACCACAGCCATCAGCAGAATCAGCACTGTGAACACACACAGTATTCTAGTCCACGGCAGGCCAGATGTGCCAGATACCCTCATTCACCTAAACTGCAGGGAAACGGCGCCCCCTACCTGTCGGATGAATGCTACGATAGCGGGCCTGAGGGTGACTATGTCTCTCATACAGACGGGTCTGTCATCTCACGTAGGGAGTGGTATGTTTGACAAGCTTCCTCGTCCTGCAGGGGCAGAAATACGACAGAAACCAGAGGGTTTAAATTATTAAATTAGTTAACAACACATTATTTCTCTTGTGTACACACATGCACACTTCTATTAATCTCAATTCTATAGTTCCCTTGTTTTTGTTCAAGTGTCCTGGTCGGTGCTTGAGATATAATGTTCCTGTTCTTGATATGGACAGACTGTGGACTGCATAGCCGCTTTGACAGTCAACATCTACATGCCTGCAGAAGTCGGGCATGTCACTAGTTTGTTTATGTAGAGACTAACGAAAGATTATGGTGTATGTTCTGTCTCTGCCTTACTACATGGACTGCAACTTTATTTAGCATTACTAATTTCTTTCAGTTGAATGGAAGCCCTGGGGGCTTACGGACCACACATAGTTGTTGTAGAAGAACTTACTTCTTTGTTGTTGTTTTTTTGTTTTCTACAAAATCAGCCTTCTCAGGCTATGTGACACTCATTTTCTATGTGTAGATCATGATTGGCTAATATTCAAGAATGGTACAGAACCTGTGACTGGAAGTACATCCATGAAATTCAGATGGTCACAGGTCCTTTTTCCAAACCTCAGTAGAACACAGCAGAGGCATATAATTTAAAAACAAAAAAGAATTTGTCTTGGTGACAAATCAGAATTCCTTCATGACTGATGACCTCTCCGTAACATATTGCACTGCCTTTTGCAAAACTTTATAATGGACGACCACATCATTTGTTTTCTACTAAAATGTCTACTCTTTATGTAACTTTTACCATGATGGGACACTTGTGAGCTTGAGGACTTGACCCCTGATGTCCTAGCAGTGTCCTTTAAAACTGATGGCCTAGAGTGGGAACCTTAAGAGCATTTCTACTGTATGTCCTCCGCTCATCTTTTATCCCCAGGAGGGAGAGGTGGAGAGAGGGCATGCAGGGAGGCCTGCATGAACGAGCAATGGTCCACTGTAACAACAGACTGGGTTTATTGAACAGCCGAGCCTTGATATGCAAATGTGCTACAGAATAATGCAAGTTTAAAAAAACTGGAATAATGTTCATTCTGTTTAACCTTTTTTATAATTTGTCAGCCTTTTTTGATTTGGAGTTTCAGGGTAGTTGTTCTCTTTTGTTAGCCACAAACACATTCTTCTGTCGTCTGCCAGATGATAATTTGCACTCTGGCAACAAACCAGGGCTCTCAGAAGTTCAAGAGTGCTATCAGCAGGGGCATTGTTTAAAGCAGGCTACAGTATGGCAGCCACCGTATTCTGGCCTCCTAGTCACAAAGTATTTTGTTACACAAAGAAGTCATTCATGAGTGCAGCCAGTACACCCTACCACAAATATCCAATGGACTGGATTTCACTACTCTGAGTAATCTGTCGAAACAAGACATGACTGTCACTTACAATCTGATGCATTAATAGGCTTATTGTCGCTTATGCACGTGTGCAACTGCACACTCTAATCATGTTCACCAGTTCTTTTCAAATTAAGCATTTATTATTACTAACACAGTAAAATATATGATATATAGACAAATCGGGCCTTTTGGGGTGGATGTCCTGTCACCTGTGGTTATCAAAACCTCAGTTGCACTGATCATTAAATCTCTCACTCATAATTACTTTCAGTAGCCATAAAGTAATACACCCTGTTTTATTTTCTCTGAAAAGGGTTTCAGGCTGGATTTACTATTAAATCATTTGTAACCAGCCACCTTTAATTGCTAATTGTTGCAGGACATACCAAGTACTGTGATTGTGTTTAGGAGGAAGTGTTTTACATGTCAGTGTAATTTGGGTTATGGAGCCCCATTGTAGTTCTGGTGTCAAACTTAGATAAATCTTATTATAGATTTAAAGATACATTTCTGTTATTGTATGTGATCAGATACACACACACACACACACACACACACACACACACACACACACACACACACACACACACACACACACACACACACACACACACACAATCTAAAGTATTTCAGCACATGCACGGATTTACCAGGAGGAGATCCAACAGTTTCTTTCATGTACACTAGTGTTTGTGAATACATGCTGACTTTTAGTAGTATGGTCACCTATACGATATTTGCTGCCAAATGCCAAATATTTGTTTAACTTGTATGTATAAATATAATGATGACAGTGTGTCACATAAGTATTGCCGTCTAGCTGACAACTGATTATAAGCTTATATACATGATTAACGTATCACTGTTGTATACAAGGCCTTGTAGCCTGAAATAGAAGTGAAAAGATGCTTTAGGCCACTTTAATATTACAGTAACAGTCGTCAAAATGGGAAATAGTTATGTTATGAAGTCACACTAATTCTTTGCATTTGATAATGTGCCACTGTAACTTGCAGAGAATATGATCCATATACTACAATTCATGTTTCAACTGTTGTTTCAACCGCTGTGCAGTCCACTAGGACTACTTTATCTCCATAAACAGAAGCTGTCCATTCCAATAACTACCTAAAGTGTCAGTGCTCTCCAGTTACATTAACATAATTCCCTACTTACCACTAGTGGTGTACATAAAGCTTTTAGTGTAATATGGCCAGGTTTTGAGATTTCCATCTCTGAGATCTGTGTTTCTTTGTAATTTGGGTCAACTGAGACTTTACTGGGAGTGTCCAAAATGAAGTGTACAGTTGGCAATTTGTGAACTACAATACCACATTTAGATTGTTAAATTAAAAGTATGGTTTTTAGGAGTGGCCGCACTGCTGACGCCTATTCATTCTGTCTTTCTGGTCACTTTCACATAAAAACAGGAAGCGCAGCAGCTTAATCCCCTTCTTGTGTTTGCTTCTATGCACTAAGACGGAAATTCTACTAATCAATATACTGTTTTTGCTTGACTCGTCAGTTTGCAGCCCTAGACCTGGATTAATGAAGATCTTTTGTACGGTGACATTTTGTATAGAGATCAACTATTAATATCTTTACCTTGAGAAATGTCCTTCACTTTGGGTTGAGAAGTACAACTAGTGCCTTAGATACCTAGAAGAAGTGTGTTTTCTTATTGTTTACTTATGGATTAAGAACCTGCTTTTTTTTTCTCTGTGTGATTTATTTGCTGCCTTTTTTGTTTAGATTTTCACTGCATACATGTGTCTTAGGAGGACTCCATAGTGCCATATTCACTTTTCTGCCCTTGTCACAATGACGGTTAATGACGCAGTATATTTGTGACCCTAGAGGCATTAAAACACACACAAAAAGACAAAGCTTGAATGAACTTTGATGTAAAGTGAGTTAAATCATCTCTACTTCACAGGTATCTGTCAGGGGTTTTTGGTTTCTGTAGAATCACTGTTGTTCAAAGGAGAATTACCTTCAGTCAATGAAAAGCACCTTGTGCTCATGTTTGTTTTTTGTATATACAGAAGAAAATGTAAGTTTCTGGAAGGAAAAAAAATATTTATGTCTGACGACAGTGCAGTATTATTTTGTCAATCTTTTTGAGATACTTTAGTTCAATAAAGCACCTTAGCACCTGTGAGCTATTTTCTCTGGATGTTTTTAAGCTTGCCATTACTCAGACTGCTCAGTCTCAGCCTCTTTGTGCTTCTATAAATGACATCATCTCTAGCTCCCTAACATAATGCCGCACGCACACCCCCTCCCAAGCTGTACAAGCGCACATGTGGGACGCCGCACATGATGTAATTCAGAATCATGTTTCCTCACTTCACTTTCTTTATTATGCTTTAGTATCCAAGAATGTTGTAATACTGAGCTGCCCCCTTCCACCGGTATTTCTGTGGTCACAGGGAGATCCAGCACCTCCTCTGCTCCCACTGTGCCCTCTTCACCAGTCCTAGTTTGCTTTGTTTCAGGACAGAAAAGCCCTTGCTCTCCCCTGCAGCTTGGCTCCTTTGTGAATCCCCCCCACCCCCTTGTGTCTTTCTCCCACTGTCTACCAGCTGGTAAAATTAAACGCTGAGTGTTTATGTCTGGCCCAAAGTCCCCACTCTCCAGCCCATTGACTGTCCCCATGGCAACAAGCTCATCTGGAGCTGCTGATGGGGACTGTCTTCCTACAAGCTCTACCTGGCCACAGAAAGCAGAGGGAGAGGGATGCGGGGGGCTGCGTGGAAGGCAGAGCAGAAAGAGAGAATTAGCTGGAATTGAAAAGGGCCCATTACACCCCGCTGCACTACAGAGAGCTCCTCCGGCTATAAGGACAAATCACGCTGACGTGACCTTGACACTGTTTAGCTTGGACTCTAGGTCCTCAAGACACAATTCCCCTGAAAGTCTTTATTTCAGCTGATCTCTCTTCTGTCGATCTTATCATGGTCACAGCAGCCGTTGTCATTCTGACCTTGAAACAGGGCTCGCTCACTCACACAAGTAAACCGTGGAGCTTAGGAAAAGTGAAGCAGCTCAGTGGTAGTAGTAGTAATGATGTCAGCCAACATCGATGCTTGAATAAGTTTGAGACGCTTGTGTAGAAGATCAGTGGGTTTGCTATTTGCCTGCGACACAATAGTTTCCAAGGATACTTTACACAACAAACAAAAGGAGTGAGGATGCAGCACTGACGCCTGTGTAAGAGAGAGACTTTGATATTAGCTCCCCAGCAGAGGTAGGATCTAGATTGTCACCATCATTGACCTGAAAATATTGAAATAGATGTCAGAGAAAAGACACCTACCGCTCTAACCTCCCTCCCCCCTCTGCTGTTACACCAGCATCTGCTCCCTGCGGGGTTTGTTGTCTCTGCAATAGCATGACCCTTGACCCTGCTATTAAGGTTTTAGGAGGGGGGGTTGCCATCACTCTTGCCCTCACTTCTCTGCGTGCCACTAAGGTCTGCTGTGTTTAATTCATGATGACCTCGCAGAGCATCAGCATGCACTTTTCCTGGCTTCACAGTGATGTGTGTGTGATAAAGTGCTGAAGTAGGAGAGACAGAAAGAGCCTTGCACTGGAGCCAGATCCCAGTTTGGGGACAGTTGATCCACCACTAAGGCCACTAATCCAACCCCCTCCAGAAGGGACGCTACTTGAACCAATTAAATGTTTAAATGGGAGGAAAACATCAAAACAAAACATTTGTCCAAAATGACCTTGAATCATATTTAATAAACCCATCCACTTATAGTCCTATATGAATAAACCTGCTTAATGCCTTGTGGGTTTAAAGCAGGTTTTATTCATTGTCACATTATGAATGTATGAAAATGTCTGTCATCGGGCATTAGAGCAGGCAGTCTGATGAGCTGCATTTTTAAAGGCATTTTGATCAACTGAAGAGGCTCTTGTCATAGTTCAGCAGCCATCAAAGTCAATCGAACTGTTATCAACTGTTGGAGCACAGCATGAAGGGAGACGAGGGGGGAAGGGGAGAACAAGGAGGAAGAAGTGGCTTTCAGGGGTGAGCTCCCAGTTTGTTCAATCTGCATCATAATTGAACTGTTATTTAGGATTCTCATCTCAGCACATTATTGATTTTTTTACCACCCACCCCCACCTCAACAGCTAAATCAGCTGGAATGGACCATTATACTTTTTTTCCAGCCCTGTCACCTTTTGTCCTCCAGTTCCTTCAGTGTCCTACAATCACAGTTGTACACATTATTGCTGATTGGCCAAAGCTTGCCATTCTGTGAGTTTAATACATCTTAATCACAATTAATCCTAATCCCCTCAGTGGAAAACATGGAGCATAAGCAGGCATATGGTCAAACAAAGCTAATTTCAACAGACTTTACAACAGTAAAACACACAAAAGACAGAAGAAGGATAATGTAGGGACATGGATGGGTGGAGGGAGGTGAAGATGTAAAGTGAATGATTTGTGAGTAATAGTTTAAAGATGCACGACCTCCAACTGAACCAAGTTAAACTGCAGCCACTCTACCTCTATTAGGCTACACATAATAGTTAGCTGAGCATACATATTATCCAGTACATTTGCAAAGCAAAATTTAAAAAAAATAAAAATAGATTTTTTAACTAGCAGTAGGTTTTAATGTTTTAAAATGGGACTCGCTCATTTAAAAAAATATATGCTTATTCACTTTCTTCAAGCAGCTAGCCTATCTCTGTCCAAAGTAAACAAAATACCCCTTCCAGCACCTCTAAAGCTCACTAATTAGTATTATGTCATATCTTGTTTAGACATTGTCCAATCATTTTTATACACGTAACACGTTATTAGTGTGCTGGACTGTTTCTTGTTTTCATTTTTCTCTTAGTTGTCAACTATGTCAGCTGTTTATTGCTGCTGTTCGGCTGGTTGTCTTTGACTATTATTATTATTATTATTATTATTTTTATTGTTTGTTTTTGTTTGTGTTTGTTTGTTGTTGTTTTTCTCCTCCCCAAGCCCCCCTCTCTGTTCTATTGCAGGTTTCCTTGCTTTCTGCAACTGGTGTTTCCCACAGCTTTTCCCTGTTGTCCCCACCTTCCATCCCCCTTCTCTTGCAGGTCTTGTCCTTTCTCTGTGCTGTCTGTTTGTGCCCCCTATCCCCGTGTCTGCCCCCCTGTCCGGCCCGGTGACAAATAAATACATAATTAAATAAATATTAAAACAGACAAAGGAGTATATTAATACTCTCTTGTTAAAGTAAAATCTGTCTGGCACAATATGGTATCCAGCTCTATACCAGGCTGCTGGGCAGGACAGGTTTAAAAAAAATATATATATAAAACACGTTATCAAAACAGTTATGACCTGCAGATGTGTATTCATGTCAATAGAGTGCATTTTTAACACTGGAGCCAGCGACAGGCAATGAATGTTAGTTTTTCTTTTTTATAGCCAATGTTTTATTGTGTGTGTGCATCTTTGAAATTGTACCACTATGATATAATTTTTAATATATATGATAAAAGAATATGCCACTTTTGCAGATTTTTGTACACAGTCTTAATATTAATTTTTTCCAGGCACTTGCTAATCAGACAAGGTTGTTTATTTGTCGTGAGCTGTTCTATTAATAACCAATAGTTACATTTACAAAAATTCTACCCGTGTCAATAGTTCAAATATTGGTTTCTTTTTGTTTGGCATCTGCATCCCACTTTCTCTTTCCAGAGTAACAAGGAAGATGGAAGACACATGATAACACTTAGAGCAGTTTGTACAGAACAAACTGCATCATTTAACAAAACTTTTACTATGTTGCAGGTTTAAACCCTCAAACATGCACACACCCAACTACCCACAGCTACAAAATTAACAAAGCATCAACTGTAACATTCTTTGCCTGCTAAATAGTGCAAGTGACAAAACTGTTGAAGTTTGTCCTTTCCTTGCCTGCAGCTGGTGGCATTTATCCTGTCAGCTGCAGACCTAACCTGATGTTGTTACTCTTGTTGCCTCTAGGGGGGCGAGGCTGAACTGGAACTGTGGGTCTGAAACTGGTTGCACTGTGGTTCTATCAAATGGATTATACTAGCCTGTTTAAAGTGCTTCACATCAGTGACACTGTGTCCTTGTTAAACAAACATCACGTTTTAATGCAGCGTTGAATTAACACCTCTGACTGTTCAAAGACTAATGATTATGAGCTTCACCTCGTGTACAGCAGGCCTTTGACCCCCCTATACTTCCCCATGTTGATGATAGTGTGTTTGTGGTATGCTGAATGTGTCTCTCTACTCTGTCTCAGACCAGTCTCAAGTGGAGAGGTCAAACTCTATTGCCGTAGCCGGAGCTGTGATGGGCGCCGTCCTCGCTCTCTTCCTTATTGCTGTCTTCATCATCGTGATCCTCACCGCTCGCAAGGCACCCCCACCAGCCTTCACTGATAAAGTGTAAGTCTGAGGAATAATTCATGTTGCAGAACACGCTCATCTGGTTAATTAATGACATGATACCTTGTGAGGTTGACTGAAGCTGGTGGGTTCAGGGAGTTGCTCCTTACTCCTGCAGAGAGTGCTGCAGCGGTGCACGCCCTGGAGCAGGGAGGCTGCAAGACAAGGTTGAGGGGTGGCAGATAATTGCTGTATCTTGGCAGCAAGCCCTTGTCCTATTTTGTTCCGTCTGTTCCTTTACTGCATCAACACTCATATTAATGTTAAAGCAAAGAAGAATAACTTGGAGGTTAAATTATATACAGCAGGACTTGGTGATTGACACTAAATGCTTTGCATGCGAGCGCATGTATTTGAGTACGTGACGTGTATTTCTCACATTGTGGGGACTGATGTTCATTTTGGGGACAAAACAACAGTCTTGGTCACTTGTTGTGTCCAACAGCTTTGTGAGGACCAAAAATCTGGACCCCTCAAGTGTAAAGGGTGTTTTGAGGGTCAAGACATGGTTAGTTTTAGTTTTGGGGTTAGGTTAGGGTTAGGGGCTAGGGAATGCATTATGTCAATGAGGGGTCCCCATGAAGACACAAGGGTGTGTGTGTGTGTGTGTGTGTGTGTGTGTGTGTGTGCGCGTGTGCGTGTGTGTGGCCTTTGTTTTGTATGTCTGTTGTCTATATGCTGAATAACTGTGACAGATGGTAAATTACAGGACCGAACACAATCTTTTATGTG